TTACAAAACCTCTCTATTGCCGAAAATACCCCTGGCCAATAGAATCGGGTCAGAATTCGTTCCCTCGTTTTTTCAAAACCAAGGTGCCCACCTAACACATGGCTATGGGCTAGCTTTAAAACAGTGATTCGGTGAAATTGGGGAACTAACAACTGTTCTGCCTCCTCTTCCCCTTTCTTCTGTACTCGATACAGCAGATTATTTTTCACTATGAAATAAGGAAAGCTTAAGGGCTTGTCAGGGTCCACCCTTGTACCCTCCACTATTTGCACATTATCTCTTGCTGCTGTCAGGGACATATCTTCCCATTGGGCTGCTTGGAAGTTACCAGGGGGGACTCTGAGATCCTGAAACTCCACCTCTTCTATAGGGTCTTCAGTATGGGGAGGTTCTACCTCATTACCCAGGCACACCAAGAGTGTCTCTTGCTTGGTACCCAATTCACATTACATGTTGGAGAAAGGAAAAATATTATTTATACACTCTACCCTGGGTAGCTCCTCAGAGCTCATATTCGGATGAGCAGAGCCCTTTTCCCATAGGTGGCAGAAATGGGGAAAGTCCCTCCCTAATACCACATCATATGGTAACAGGGGCACTACCCTACAGAGCATTTAACCTGTCCTACCTCAGTGCCAAACTCAACCTCTGCCGTGGGGTATGTGTGGGTGTCACCATATATACACACACAATATCAATCACTTGTCTGGTATCTAATTTCTCTGGCTGGAGCAAAACACTTTTTATCAAGGTAACCTCACTCCCTGAATCAATCAGAGCTTGTAAATTCTTTCCTTCCACCCTCACCATTATTAAATGCGTTGCATTAATAGCACTAGTCACCACACACATCTTTGAGCAAGTCAATACAGTCCTATGTAGAGCCCTTGTTCCTACATCACACTGCATGGGCTCTTCATCCTCTGGACAGTTACATGCAAAATGTCCAGGCTCATGGCATTTAAAGCACCAGACTTGTCCCTCAGCTTGGTCTTGTTGCCATAATGGAGCTGGTGGGGACCTTCTGCCACCCCGGTCATATGGTCCAAGGTTCGGTACAAAGTTTTGACCTTTGTTTCCCACTTTCCTGCTTATCCGGTTGTTAGCCGGTCTGGACTTCTGTTGAGGATAAATACTGTATGGCTCCTTGGTGACCAAATACCGCTCAATCAGGAACATCATTTTTTCTGGATCCTGAGGGTCACCTTGGCATACCCATTGTCGCAGCCCTGTTGGCAGATGTCTGAGAAAACGGTTCATAACAACCATCTCCACTATCTTGGTAGCAGGGTTACGTTCAGGCTCCAGCCATTTCTGAGCAAGCCTGAGCAATCCATACATCTGGGCTCTGGTAGGTTTGCTCACGTCGTATGCCCAATTATGAAATCTTTGGGCTCTAATGGCTGGTGTTACGCCTATGGGCTTTAAAATTTCAGCTTTAAGTTGCTTGTAATCCTGGGTCTGGTCGGAAGGTAGGTCTTCATAGGCTTTTTGGCACTCTCCACTCAGGCATGGAGCTAGAAGCCCTGCCCACTGGTCCAATGGCGATCTTTCCCGGGCAGCAACCCTCTCGAAAGTGGTGAGATAGGCCTCCACATCATCTATCTCTGTCATCTTATGTCAGTGGCACGGATACGGGATACCCTTTCCCCAGGGGGGCTCCCTGCAGATGGCAATATCACTCTCTGCAACACCTCAGTAAGGGCAGCTCTATCCATCTGCTGGGCTTCCTTCAGGTTCTCAAACTGTGTAACCAGTAGACGATTTGTTTCTTGTTGTACAGTGGTTGCCTGTACCAGAGCTTTCACCAGTTCCTCCATTATAGCAGCAAGCAGGTAACAGTCTTAAAGGTACAAGCTACTTGTTTAACAGGTCTGCCAAAATAAAAGTCCTCAAGCAGACTACCGGATGACTGGCACACCTACAGACCCTCAATGTGCTACTGTGCCCGCATTCTCCACCATATTGTGATCCTGGTCTGCAGTTAGCACGGTCCTTTTGGATACAAACATGCACAGTCTTTCGTCTGAGCACTAACTAACTTTAGATTCTCTATCTCTCAGGGGTTAAACTATAACAAATAATACTGGTTTCACCAACCTAGTGTCTTTGTTAGCTCTCAGCACTCCAGTGTTTAGTCAGTCTGCTGCCTCCAGCCCTTCAAGAGAGAAACAAACATTCTCTCCTACCTGCCTAGCAGGGAGGGGTTTATTCCCACTGCTGCAGCTGATTACCTGCAGCTGAGCAGTGGGTTGGAGACAGTCCAAAAAACCCTGACCTGGATCTATGTCTCCAAAGAAAACAGCTAAACTGTGGAGTGGAGCACTGGCCCACACTGCTCTCCAAATGCTCCACCCCAGGGGCCCATAACTAAATATTCATTTCAGTTATATACACACAGACACACACACTCCCCCTGGGGTTAAAAATCATATGCCTCTCTGAACAATTCAGTCGAAATATAAACTCCCTCACAGACCACCCCATTCACCTTATCACATTTGGTTATTCGGCAACATTTCAGCTCGGAGTTCGAACGATCACCACATTGGCCCACATTTGCATGAATAGCAGTTCGGAATGAAATTAATCTTGACGTCTATTTTTTAACATATTAGTCAACTCACATATTAGTCTTCTGCAACAAATATATATCAAACTAGTCAACTAACCGAAACAGATAAAAACATTTTCAACATATTAGAGCTGTGTATGTAATAATATATTAATTAAGTAAACATATTTTATTTTCTGTAGGGAGAAGACCTTTAACATACACTTTTAGCTATAGCTGAGGCAAAGGGATTGCATTTTGGTCCTTGTGATTTGGGGAAAGATAACTTGTTCTTTCACAGAAACACAATGGATGTAATACAAGTGGAAGTCACAATGTTACAGGTCAAATGTTGCACCTGCCACCTCCAATTGTCATCGCGATGCCAAACAGAGATAATAATTCCTAATGCTCAGACTAGGAGTCTCCATTTACCTATACTGTAAAGAAAAATTCAGTCTGCAACCTCATATATTTTATATTAAAAACACGTGGAAGCAATCTTTAAGAATTTGCTGAAAGTTTAACATATTTAGTCCAATCTATTTACTTAATCACAATAACGAGGTCAAATTTTATTGTACTTACTTTTATAAAGCAAACAAAATACAAATACTGTAGAGAAGTCAAACAGCAACTTCGGTGCAACAATTAGGCCACCACCAACTAACATTGGGTAATGATGAGAATAAAAAAAAGGAATTATCTGTGGATTGCCTGAGCATGAGGTGAAACAATTTGTTGGTTTTATGTCTGGCAGTCATTTAAAGATACACAAAGCTCCAGGTTGGAAAGCCAACAGAATTAATTACTAAAGTCTGAATGGGGCAAAATGATATAGTTGCAAACGGAGCCATTTGGACTGAAAATTCAAGGCATTGTTCACGTTCAGTTCTGTAAAGCAGGCCTCGAACTTGAATTTGGTCAGGATATCAGCTGTACCAAACACCACTGGACAGTTAAAATCCAGTCCAAATTAACTAAATCCAATTCAACTTCCAGCACGGATTTAAAAAAACAAAACAAAACAAAAAATTTCAGTGCTAGCAACCAGAGAGCAAATAGTTATAAAAACTGTTGCTTACTTATCAATTTAATCTTAGTATAAACCTGTTGGAGCATCAACCATAGTTTGCTTTTTCACTGTTTGCATTGACTATCACATATCTCTTCTATAGTACTATAAAAATGTGCATGTTCCTCATATGTCACTTAATGCTTTAAACGTGTTTCTTGATACTTGGTCATGCTTCTGTGACATAGTAAGTTTGTCTGTATTCTTTCGTATATGCACAACTAAAATAAAGATTTAAAAAACAAAAAACAAACCTTGGTTGGCACGAGGGTTAGTTATGTGACAACTGGCCAGCACTTGCTAGCCAGCCACCACATTACAAAAAGTAAAAATAAGTAAATAGAAATAAATACATAAAAATCCTATGGAGTCTATAGGTGGGTGCATGTCTACTGAACATTAAAGAGATACTATAAGTGCCAGGCATACAAATCTGTATTCCTGGCACTCACACCCCACCCCCACTGATGTTAATAAAGGGTAAAAAAACATTATTTATTTACCTGATCCCAACGCCGTTCTTGGCGCTGGGTCACGACTTTGATGCTTTGATGCTATACGTGATGGCAGCAGACACCAAATATGCAGAGAATGGAAATTAGTCAGCATGGGACTTTCTTCTGGAATGCAGCAATCTAGATTTGAGACATCAAAACAGTGTGTGTGTGCATGAATACATGACAGAGCCCTGAAAGAGCAAACCATAATGTGCAATGTTAACAATGGTATCACAGAGCTCCACAGCAATTAAACACACAGTAATATGGATAATCTATCACAGAGTTCCACAGTAATACAACTCACAGCAATGTACAATGTGTATGAGTATATTCTGGAGCTCCATGACAATAGCATTCAAAGTAATGTGCAGAGTGTGTGAGTGGATCAAATCTATAAATACGTCTGGGTTATGTCAGTGTCACCTAGAAATGGCTAGTCCCCTCCTAGCACAGGCACATTAAAAAAAAAAAAAAATTGTCCTTCTTTAGTTACTTAATGGCACGGAGAACCTAGGAAGGTTAGGGGAAGAGACTTGGTTAACCAAAATCTCTTGGTTAGCAATTTACCTTGAATACAGTATAATATTCTGCTGCATTTTATACCTCTGATTACTGAATACCCATTATTCTTTAGACAGTGGTACTGTGAAGGTCTATGAGATCATGCAGGTCCTTGACACATAATATTGAGGTGGCTGATCTAGGTGTGGAACTGGATCTGGCACTATCATACGTCTGTAGAAAGTCTTGGCAGCGGTCATACAGTTTGGCATAAGGGCAAGGGTTGGAGGAGGAGGCAGGCTTTGCTGGTATAAATAAACAGCCATACAAGAGGGATTCCAAGCCAGAATATTCCTGGCTCGGATGCAAAATGTATCTATTAATTCTGCTTGTTCTTCTCGGAGCAGTAGAAGCTGACCATTATGAAACTGAAAACATGTAAGTTCCTCAATTACTGCAAACAGGTAACATTAATGTAGGATCAGCAGACGTCATTGCCCACAAATGACCTCTCAGAAGCATCAGGTGTTACTTGGGCAATCAGATAAAAGAAAAAACATAGCAAAATATGTATTAAAGATTGACAAGGAAAGTTCGATAGGATGGCATGGAAGTAATTAAGGAAAAACAAATTGAATTCCTTCTGGTGAATAACTTCCTATATATTAATATTTGCCTTTTTTAAAAAGTATATATTTAAAAAAAATTTTTTTTCAATTCTTTGTTTTTGCAGTGCATATAAATAACACAAACTGGCGAGAGATGCCCCAATAGCAGTCCTCTAGCTCATCCCACGCGTAACATGCAGGGCACATGAATAACAAGCACAATTTTTATGTTTTAATCAGGCTTAAACATTTGGATTTAAACGTAGTTTAAGAGTATGAGTCAGTTAGGTCGGTGCAATAATCAAGCTATGAACAATCCAATTTATGTGGTTATGTGTCATTAGTGATAGAAGCATTGGTGATAGAGTTAAGACAGTCCGTTTTGTATCATCTAGTACAGTTAGTAAGTAAAACAATTAATGCTGAACAATGCTCTATTTGCTATGCTCGTATAGTTGTGATGTCACAGGCTAAACATGCTGCGTGAAGCTAAGAACATGCAGGTTTAAGCAATGCAAGATTTCTTAAAATTGGTTTGGTTATGCTGCACTACGCTTGTCTATGCTTAAGAAAGGGACATGCATTCCATACAGTGACATCTGGTCTAACTAGACATACATTAATCCCATATATGATTACTTGTCTATCTGAGTATGGGTGCACGAGTGAGTGAGGTAAATGGAAGCATGCCTATATATATGTTAGACGATATATTAAATTATTGAGGCGTATACTTAGCATATTCATTTCTTTGTGTTATTTTAGCTGAAATATTAAGCTTAATATAGACAGTGACTAACATTCAAGCTTTTACCAGAGTAAACGCTTGATAGGTAATGTTGTAATAAAGTAACCAGGGTTTAGATGTCTTAAAACATATTATAACATAAATTTAATAAAAGAATCCCTAGTGGCTTCGCTTATCTGCAGGAGAAAGAGTCCTCGGCAGTACAGGATTAGGCTTAGGCACGACAGCCGTGCAGGTGAAGGCGACCGGCATCCCGGTGAGGAGACAGCAGGTCAGCAAATAGTAGCGGATTGGGAGTTCGAGTTGCAGCACAGAAATCGTTCCCCCGTGTTCATGTGGGGTACGTAAGTCTCAGTCCTCAGGGTGGTCTGTAATCAGCCGACGCCCGCTCAGTGGAGCCGTTGGGGTTGTGTGAGTGCCGCTCGGGCCAAGGGACAGAAGCCCATTGTGGATACAGTCCTGATGCCCATGCTGGTTCTCAGTGTGTCGTTTGGGGAGTGAGTCTCTGTAGCCTCCTGGTGACTTTATTTGTTTTTCCTTGCCGGGCCCTTCCCAAAGCCCAAGTGGGGTGTTCGCCACTCCGGTTGATCTCACCTTTCCCGAGCATGAGCCTGGGAGGTGGCGAGTTCCGCGTGATGATCGGAGGCTTCAGGTGCAGCTGAGTGGTAAGCGTGTTGGGACAGGTGGGTTGTCCCCCATTGGTGTATGTTCGAGCCAATGCTGGCGCTCGGGGGATATATTGATTTTGTCTGCCATCTGGGTTCTCGGTATCGGGAGGTTGCCCTGGGAGCTGTGGGTGGGTGTCTGCATAGTTGGCGGTGGATTGTAGGGCGAATCGACGCCGCTGCTTGTTTCAACGCTAACTTAAAGATCCGGCCTTTGGTATGGAGTTCTGTCCAGAGGCTTGCGCCAAACCGGTCAAAGAGCTCCCATTCGCAGGCCGCATCCTAGCCGCCATCTTGGTTGGGCCCTGGTATTTTTGCTTCACATAGAGTGCATATGGTGGAGGCTCCCTAATGTTATCACACCATTTAAGCCTTGCATTTCCCTAGATAACAGCTTAACCTTTGGAGTGCTGGAAAAAAAAAAGTGGTTATCTTTTGAGATTTGGACTGCTCAATTCTGGGATTCATTTCTGGGACTCTCTGCGCTGGAAGTTGTTTATATGTAATGAAAAAGTATTTTTGTGTGAGCACACATACTGTATAAATTACATCTTTATGGTTAATAGGTTATAATTATAATTTCTTATTTTTCTGTACATTCCAATTGGATAGCTTTCAAAAAAGATTGTGCGCTAACTCATTGTCAAATACATTGAAAATCTTGTTATGTGTGTGTGACACACAGGGGAAGTTCAAGGATAGAAGCACATATTATAGTTAAAAATTAAAGGTATAACACTTTGGATATATGAAAATTAAAGGCATAATACCCTGAATACATAACACTTAAAAGAAAAAGCGCCTCAGATTAGTATCTATTTTTGCTTGTTTGTAGGCTCTATAGCTTGGTTGGGGTAATCGTCCCCAGCGGGGGGGGGCAGCAGGGCAGTGTGTGCTTTTCGTTTGCGGACGGGTCCCTTGCCGGTCGATCGGCCGCCTCCACCATGCTGCAGGCTTCGCTCCATTTTAGGCCGCATGGCTGGTTCAGACTCTCGTAGTGCGGATCGGTGCAGGACAGGTATCGTTCCGTTCCCTGCGAGGTTCTATGTCATATTCCAAGCACCTTATGTTGCTGGCTTCTGTTGTTTGGACAGGATTAGTGGGTTTGTGTCTGCTGGTGCTGGAGCTTTCAGAAATCACAGCCGGCCATCTTGGCTGTCAGGCCCCGCCCCCCTTAAAAAGTATATTTAGGTGTATATATTGCATTCAATCAGAGTTATTTCATAGAGATTTTACCTTTATGAAATATTCAAAAAGGGACGGGAAGAGACAGAGCCAATTTGAATATTTTACAATATTTCATCCTACAACTAGTTCTTAGTTTCATTATTTGCAGGTTAAATGTTGCTTGTAATAACAATAATTGGAGTACTGATCTCTGGAAAGGTGTGCTGTATCATTCTTCTAGCTAAAGTTTTTAACGCCAAACGGTTACAGATGAATAGGGGAATGGTCAATTAGCTCAGGTTTAAATGAAGGAGAAGCCATACTTTAGGGTTGATAACTGTCAGCTAATATTACCTTTAAACTCTAAAGACCAGTTTTGCCACAGATGTATCAGACACCTTATCTCCTTTAATACTCCTTTATTCACTCACTTCTACTGCATCAATAATGTATGTTACAAGTGGTTTATTGCTAATTTATCATTGTAGCTTTTTATATTTTGTTAAATAGCATTTTGCTTCTAACAATTTGCCCTACAGGCTAATACTTGCATCTTTCCCTCTAGATACTATGTAACGTTAATCCCAGCTGAGCTCCACTTCCCTTCCACAGATCAGGTGTGTCTGCATCTGGAAACTGACAAACCCAACAATCTAAGTATCCAAGTTACAGTGACCCTTGAGGTCAAAAGTCAAGAGATTGTACTGTATACTGGGATCAATCCTTCTACAGGCCCTCTTCAATGCTATAAATTCAAGGTAGGAATGGAAATTGACAAATTTGGTACCATAGCAGAAGTAGATGGTGTCCTTGTATATTTTGAGATACAATGACTGAATGAATTATTTATTGTTCAGAAAATGATTGGGTAGAAGTCGAGAATTGAGTTAGAATGGCAGAGACATTGGCAGAGGATAATAATGTAGGAGGTAATGACGGGGTGGCAGGATATTGCTGATAAAACGGAATTCTGCACTCGACCAAATACAGAGGGGGCCATTTGCTGTCACAATGACATCCACAGATTAGAGAACTACAAAGAATTACATAAAGCCATAGCCTCCAGCCCCCTAGCAGCAGCTTATGAGCCTTATAATATGCAAAGTAGATTTTAAAAAAGTGTCAGAATGTCTCCATGTCTACATAGTAATGATTAATCTTACGTCTGAATGTCTCCACTGCAAGGCTTAATTTTATCAATATCGACCCTTCACTTGCCTATTTAAACCCAGGCCCCAATTACCAAGTTGTTTGACTTTTGAGTTTCCCATTGGTCTGCGGTGTTGGTGAATTGTTATTGCACTTCAGCTTATGTTCAGGTTAGTCCTTGTTCAGGTGGTTGACTTGCTTGCTGTCTGATAACTGGTTCCTGTCTTCAACTCCGCTTCTGACACAATTTTGCCATTATACCCCTGGGCATCAAATATCTTGGATAGACTTCTTCATATCTGCAGGATTACAATTGCCATCTAAATTGTATTCTAACATTGTGGAGTTCCACAGCAGCCTGCTGGTTTAAGTATAATGTGTTTATTTCTCTGTATATGCAGAAGAAAATAATTATTATTGTTTTCAACAACTCTGATAATGATTAGTCAAGGGCCCTGTCCTTTCTAGCCATAGTACTCATGCCTCTATACTAAGGCATTGTTCAGGGTGTTTTGAACCCATACGTTCTTCTGGAGACTTGTAAGGATTTTCCTAATTGTATAGAAAACAAAATCCACGTTAACTACTTGCATTGATGGTTCCACAAAATCTAGATAATGGCTGATTCTCCAAGGGAGAACAGGATCTGATAGATAGATATATACTCATATAGGCTCTAAATTTTTCAAAACATACCCACGTGTTTTAACTAGGAAGCATGGTGCATAGTGCAGGGACATTGGCGTTTATATTAGCTCTCGAATGTGGATCATTCAGAAAACCATAAAGAGGCACTGGATTAAAGAGACCAGGTACAGGAGCCAGTGAACATGCTATGCTACGCTTCCAGATGGTCCAGGGCCAAGCAATCATTGACAGATTTCCACCAGGTGATCTTAGCTGGTTTCTTCTCTGAAACTATATTTTTGACATTTCAAATTTAGCATAAGAGTCATCAAGTAGTGTAGGCTGTGCTGTAAGAAAAGGTTTCCAGCATCCAAGTAGGCACATTTCTTCTCACTGTGTAAGATCCACCCACCCACCCAACCAACCAACCAACCAACCAACCGATTCATTGAAAAGATTCAGAGTTTCTATAGAGTTGAAAAATGACCACAAATATCCATTACTTCTTAAATGTTGTAACATGTCTTATAACAGTCAGATTTCAAGATGTTAAGCAGGAGAATGTGAATTGTAGTTCTGCAACGTCAATTGTATACCCCCCTGGCCAGCCGTGATCTAAGGTTATAGCGTTATTTCCAGAAATTCATAGAACTTCTTATTTTCATTCTCAATAGATAAGGGTAGGGAGAATGACTTCCTATGCCATATTATATTGATGTGATTATTATTTACATAGCGGCACCAAATTCCGCAGCGCAGTACAATGGGTGGACTACCAAAAACATGTAATTGTAGCCAGACGAGTTGAATGCACAGGAACCGAAGGGTTAAGGGGCCTGCTCAATGAGCTTACATGCTAAAGGGAGTGGGGTAAAGTGACACAAAATGTAAGGGTATGGGTAAAAAAGGAGATAGGTAGAATAGTATTCACTGAAGACTTAGTGTGTTTTTTTAATGACAGTTGCAGGAGACGAATCAGAGTGTGTGTTTGTGTGTGGGGGGGAGCTAATAACAGTTTAATTGATACGCTTTTGTGAAGAAGTGGGTTTTTGATGGAGTGAAGACTTAATGAGCGTCTAATGGAGAAGGGAATGGAAAGGTGCTGCCCGAGAGAATTCTTGAAGGCGAGCATCAGAGGTGGGAGTACAAACAGAGGATAGATGTAGGTATTCGGCAGAGCGTAGAGGCCTAGACGGGACATGCTTGTGTATTAGGGAGGAAAGATTTGCTGGAGGAGATGTAGAGATTTGTAAGCAAGAACCAGGATTTATACAAAATATATACACTGCCCACCTCAATAATATGAGAGCAACATGAACTAAGAGAGTCATGCCGGCTTGGACGTCGCCCGGATTAACAAGGTCCACATCAGATGCCAGGGCAATTTGATGACAAGTGGGCTACTGGAACAAATCATTCCTGGACACGGAGCGAGAACCTAGACCTGCTTGAATGCTACTACAACAGTAGACCCAACAAGAGAAACTACATGAAACGTGTGTGGGAGCTATGGATGAACAAGAGACCATCATCTACCCTAACACCAAAACAGGTGGTTACACGTTTGAACATCTGCAAGAGAAATCTAGTGTCACAACTGGAATTAAACAGACTACAGAAGAAATCAATCATGCATCATGAGGAGGAAGAAATTCCCTTACCCACATTCTTACCAGCACCTGAGAATTGCCAACCTGACTCCATACCCCAAGAAGGCATAACAACAGACATAAGGGAAATGATCCTAGAAAAACTAGCAGTCGTTGACCAGAGGACAAGACTAACGATGATCGCTGGAAAGCTACCACCAGACAGCATACTAGCTGCAGTTAATGAAGCATTGTCCACAATCCCAACCTGCACCATCACTGAGACCAACAGGCTCATATATGCCACAGCACTAGTGGTCCTCCAGCAACTTGACTACAAGATCAGGCTCAATGAGAAGCAATGCCCACCATGGAGACTACGACTGGAAGCCAAGATAAAGACAACAAGGAAGGAAGTTAGTAAGCTGGATCAACTTATCAGAGGTGGAAAGATCAAAGATAGATCCTGGCTGCTGTGGAAGTACAAGGATATGCCTATACCGGAAGCAAAGACTGACAGCACTGGCAACCAGACTAAACAGACACACCAGAGAAGCATAGGCTAAGAGAATCAATGCTCTCTGAGACTGAACAGTACTGGAAGAGTATCTGGGAGAAAGAACACCAAGGCCCAGTGGCTAATAGAACTGAAAGCAGACCACTGCATGATGCCAGAACAGGAACCAGTCACCATCACAGTCGAAGAAATCCAACAGAGAGCAGCACACATGAAGAGTTGGTCAGCCCCAGGACCTGACATGATCCACAACTACTGGATAAAGAAATTAACAGCACTGCATGAACACCTAGCAGCACCAATGAACCAACTACTAGCAACCTGCTCCCATCCTGACTGGCTAACACAATGCAGAATACTGGTCATGAAGGAACCTCACAAGGGAACAACACCATCCAAATACTGACCAATATCCTGCCTCCCCACAACACAGAATCTCTTTTCAGGCATCGTAGCCTCCAAGATCCAAGGGCATATGAGTCAATATATGAGCAATACTCAGAAGAGGATTGGAAACAATACCAGAGGATCAAAACACCAACTACTGGTAGACCAAGCAGTCACAAGGGATTCTAAGATCAGACAGATCTGTGCATGGCCTGGATTGACTACAAGAAAGCCGATGACACAATGCCACACACATGGTTACTGGAATGCTTGGCTATGCACAAGGTCAGCAAGACAATAAGAGCCTTCATCAAGAACTCGATGGGCAAGTGGAAAACAACCGTAGAAGCCAATTTCAGGACAATAAATCAAGTGAACATCAAATGTGGCATATACCAAGGTGATGCGGTATCCCTAATGCTGTTCTGCATAGGCCTCAACCCCCTTACCAGATCATCAAGAAGAGTGGATAAGGATACAGGTTCAAGAGTGGAGCCACCTACTCTACATGGACGACATCAGGCTGTATGCGAGGAATGAGTGGGACATTGACTCACTGATCCACCTAATTAGGATATACAGCAAGGACATCGGAATGTTATTCGAACTAGAGAAGTGCGGGTGGATAATAGCAAAAAGAAGGAAGATGATCAGGACAGAAGGAGTTCTGTCCAGATGGTTAAGTTCCAGAAGGCTAAATAGAAGATGTAGAGAACAGCTACAAGTATCTGGCCACAAACGCATGGCAACCATGAGGAAGAGGCAAGGAAGATAGCAACATCCAAGTACCTCCAGAGAGTCAGACAGGTCCTGAAGTCCCAGCTCAATGGCAAGAACAAGATCCAAGCCATCAACACGTATGCCTTACTGGTCATCAGGTACGCAGCTGGAATAATAACCTGGTCAAGAGAAGAACTGGTCACCATGGATGACAAGATCAGAAAACTACTCACTATGAATGGAGGATTCAACCTGAAATCCAGCATTCAGAGACTGTACATCTGCCGGAAGAAAAGAGGTCAGGGCCTGATGAGTGTCAAGGCCACAGTCCTGGATGAAACACAGAGCATCCAAAGGTACACCACGAAGATGGCTACCAAAGATGAACTGCTAAGTGTATGCCTGAGACTTCAACAAATAGAGGATGCAGAGAAAGAGGAGGTTCCTTGGCAAGACAAAACTCTCCATGGGGTGTTCCACCGGCAGATAGTGGATGTGGCAGGACTGCTGAAAGACAGCACTGAGGCACTAATCATAGCAGCACAGGAACAGGCACTCAGCACCAGATCAATAGAAGCTGGAGTGTACCACACCAGGCAAGAACCAAGGTGCAGACTGTGCAAAGAGGCCTCTGAGACAGTCCAGCACCTAGTAGCCGGATGCAAGATGTTAGCAGGAACAGCATTCACAGAGAGACACAAACAAGTTTCTGGGACTGTCTACCGAAACATCTGCACAGAATATGGAATGGACCTGATGGGAGATACCACAAAGGGTAGTTGAGAATGATAGGGCAAAGATCCTGTGGGACTTCAAGATCAAGACAGACAAGAAAGTGCTGGCCAATCAACCCGACATCGTTGTGGTAGACAAGGAACGGAAGACTGCAGTCGTCGTGGATATGGCAATACCCAGTGACTATAACATCAGGAAGAAGGAACATGAGAAGGTGGAGAAATAACAAGGACTGAAAGAAGAACTAGAAAGGATGCGGAAAGTGAAGGCAGTAGTAGTCCCAGTTGTGATAGGAGCACTTGGGGCTGTGACTCCCAAGTTGGAGTAGTGGCTTTAACAGATTCCAGGTGGGACATCTAAGATCGCTGTCCAGAAGAGTGCAGTTCTAGTAACAGCTAAGATACTGCGCAGGACCCTCAAACTCCCAGGCCTCTGGTAGAGGGCAAGAGAATGAGGAATAAACATAACACAAAGGAGGGGTGAGAAAATCAATTTATATATATATATATATATAAAACAAAGATTTGTATTTTACATACAGAACCCACAGATCTCTCTGTAAGATGGCACGTACTATGTGGGTTTGACAGATTGAGGCTGCATGATCATTACACATCCCTGCAACCTCCAGTTTAGTACTTTTAAAAAAAGTAGTACTTTTAAAAAAAGTACTTTTTATTATAAAGATAGCTATTGGATCACCATTGGATCACATATAAAGTAGCATAATGAGTTACGCGGGCTTTACTTGATGGATTTTAGGCGCATATTCCATACAGTTCCAATATTAAATATCTTAATGAGTTTTATTGCATCATCCATTTCCTTACCATGAGAATGAAGCAGGGTTTTTGATAGACCATTAACAATATTAGGATAGAGATTGTGAGAGACATACCTTATCTTAAAGTAAAGTATATATATGTTTTTCTATAAGTGATGAAAGAAACACTTGAGGATATTTTTACGGAACAATCCAAGCACCATAACCACTACAGCTCATTTAAATGAGTGTTGTAAGTAGTCAAACACTGCACAGTACGGATAAGATGAGGAGAGCTAATGCAAGTTTCTGCTTTTTAGTAGGTTAGGTAAGGAGTGTAACTGGTGGATTACCAAGTGAGAAGTCTATGCAAGCTATAATGGTTATCGTGTTTGGAGTATTCCATTAATAATAATAAGAAAAAAAAACATTTAAAGGAAAACTATAGTGTTAGAAACAAAAACCTGTAGTCCAAATTCTATAGTGCCTTGATCTAGTTATATTCAGCTTTTTACTTACCTTTTTCCTGAGTGTCTTTAGTGGTCCTGTAACATAGCACCACCTAGTGCTAAAAAGTGATAGTGATTTACACTATATAGCCTCTCCTATAGAATATCTAATTTTTTAATCAAAATAAGGTTATGTCAACCATCTTCTTTTCTTCTTGTTTTGCACCTTAACTCATAGCAAGTATAACAATTTAATTAATCTTATTTTGTAGGTTACAAAGCAATAGAATTTAGAAAGCGTACTCAAAATAACAATGGAATTAGACAGATCACAATAAAGAGACACTAATGGCACCAGGCAACAATCTAAATTTAGTTGTCTGAGTGCAGTGACCCTTTAGTTTTAATATAAAACATTGCAGTTTTGTAGAAACCACAGGGTTTTCATTGCACAGGGTTAAACACAACTATAATGGCTGTCTTCTTAACAGCCACTAGAGGTGTTTCCCTGTGAGAACCGAGTCAGACTGAGTTGTCCTAGTGAGCATTTGATTGTCCTTGAGAGCATTGGCGGTTTGCCGCACAAGTGGCTGGCATCCCAATGCTTCCCAGCCTGTCTGGCCAGGCCTTTGATGACATGCCCATGAATGGAGTGCTGCTTAAAGGACCTCTCTAGGCACCCAGACCACTTCAGCTTAATGAAGTGGTCTGGGTGCCAGGTCCAGCTAGGGTTAACCCATTTTTTCATAAACATAGCAGTTTCAGAGAAACTGCTATGTTTATGAATGGGTTAAGCCTTCCCCCAAAGCCTCTAGTGGCCGTCTCATTGACAGCCACTAGAGGCGCTTGCGTGCTTCTCACTGTGATTTTCACAGTGAGAGCACGCCAGCGTCCATAGGAAAGCATTATGAATGCTTTCCTATGTGACCGGCTGAATGCGCGCGCAGCTCTTGCCGCTTGTGCGCATTCAGCCGACGGGGAGGAGAAGAGGAGGATCGGAGGAGGAGAGCTCTCCGCCCAGCGCTGGAAAAAGGTAAGTTTTACCCCTTTTCCCCTTTCCAGAGCCAGGTGGGTATGTTTTCCTGGCACTATAGTGGTACTTTAAGTCACCTTCAAAATCACTTTTAGGTGATTTGGGTACCAGGGGTGACACTGTCAGTACAATAACAAATATAGAAAGACCTTGTGCAGATGTGCTTCAGTGAGATAGTTGGATCTACACTATAGAACATACATTAGTTTACAAAAATAATAATATTGGGGAGTGAATATATTAAAAAAAAAAGCTGAAAATAGGAAATGAAAGATAGAGAAGGAGAATGTACAGAATGGAATTAATGAGAGAAATAGGAGCAATAGGAAAACATATGTACAAATTACATTAGCCCCTTTTGATGCCACCAATTCAACATGTTGAATGTCTCAGATTGAGCCTTCTGTCACCACTCCACTGCTTCTGGTTGTTCTAGTTCCAGGAGTCTGCAGGTATTATACAGAGAGTAGCACTATACAGTGAGTACTGACTGTCCCAGCTACTTATACATACAGACCTGTATTATATAGAGAGCAGCACTATACAGGGAGCACTGACTGTCCAGGGATATTATACACACATACCTGTATTATACAGAGAGCAGCACTATACAGGGAGCACTGACTGTCCCGGGATATTATACACAAACAGACCTGTATTATACAGAGAGCAGCACTATACAGGGAGCACTGACTGTCCTGTGATATTATACACACATACCTGTATTATACAGAGAGCAGCACTATTCAGGGAGCACTGACTGTCCTGGGATATTATACACAAACAGACCTGTATTATACAGAGAGCAGCACTATACAGGGAGCACTGACTGTCCCGGGATAGTATACACACAGACAGGGCCGGTGCAAGGATTTGGCTACACAGGTAAATATGCATTTTGCCACCCCTCCTTAAAAAAAGGGTCTTTATCTGTGTGACTTGCAACCCCCCTTTTGATTTTCTTACCCTCTTTAGTGTATTTTATCCCCCCTTTAGTATGCCTTACACCCTCTTGTGTATCATTTTCTTTCCACAGCCCCTTTGTGTGTCTCCCCCGCCATTCTTTTTGTGTGTCTCTTTCTCCCCCAACCCCTTTTTGTGGCTTTCTCCCATCAGTGCATTTTGTGTCTTTTTCCATGCAATATAGATATATAGCAACACAATCATACTGGCACTCAGTCACAAGATATGCAGGCACACAATATAACAAATACAGGCACACAGCCATACATCCTACACATATAGGTACAATGTCATACAAACACAGACATACAGACACACACACACACACACACACACACACAGAGACATTCAGATACTGTCATACAGACACAGGCATACAAAGACATACATACACAGGTTTATAGGTAGTGGATGCATGAAATAGCCTTCCAGCTGAAATGGTAGCGGTTAACACATTGAAGGAGTTTAAGGATTCGTGGGATAGGCATAAGGATATGCTAGCTATAAGTTAAGGCCAGGGACTAGATGGGCCGAATGGTTCTTATCTGCCATCACATTCTATGTTTCAATGTTTCTATAACTCCATATGAATATATGAATAGGTAGTGAGAGGAATTTGTGGAGGGTCAATTATTTTGGGATTGTCTTCTGTTTCTTCCCTACAGGTTCCATCTACCACAGGTGGTTTAGAGGAAGTCGCCACTGTACGTGTTGTAGGAGAGGGAGACGTTGAATTTTCGCAGAGTAAATATGTTCTAATACGTAAAATAAGTAATGGTGTTGTGATCCAAACTGATAAACCTACCTACCGTCCGAGCCAAACTGGTAAGAGAGGGCAAAAGGGCAGGGGGAGAATGTGCAGAGATGTAAATAATGAAAATGTATCTCCTTTTCCTAGTTTTCTTCCGTATTTTGACTCTAAATGAAAAGTTCTTCACTGCAAAGAATCAGGTGAGACTGGGACTGTGAGAAAAATGAGAAATATAAATAAGTGGGTCAAATCACTTATAAAAATGTAGACATTGCTGTCACTATATTATTATTATTATTATTTTAAATTTATATTTAATTCACATATGCATTAATAATATAATCAGGCCATATATAGCTGACTGTATTAGTTGTGCATATTTAGGTTAAAAATAAAATGTATTTTTGTATTTATGTTCTGTGATACAAAATCAAAATGTGTAAGTGAGTGAAATAGGTCGAATGTATGCGTGAGATAGTTGGAATATTTGTGTGAAATAGAGGAAATATACAGTATATGTAGATATAATAGTTTGAATGTACATGTGAGACAGTTGTAATGTGTATATGTATATTTGAGTTAGTGGAAATGTACGTATGAAGTAATAGGAATGTATATGGAGTAGCTGGAATGTATGTGTGAAATAGTTGTAATATTCTTGTGAAATAGTTGGCATGTATGTTGAGATAATTGGTATGTATATGTGAATAGTTTGAAAGTACATGTGAAATAGAATGTATGAGCTTGCTGACTGAAATATATGTGTTGGCATAGTTGGAAAATGTAAAATTGTTGGACTATACATGCTATTTAGTTAGAATGTGTGAGTTCGTTGGAATATACATATGAGACACTTTAATGTATGTGCAACATAGTTGGAATATATGTGTAAGTTAGTTGGAATGTATGAGTGTGCTTACTAAAAGATACGTTTGAGATAGCTGGAATGTATGTATGAGTAAAATATTTAGAAAGTGAATGTGAAATAAAAAGAAAAAAGATATAGCATAAATGTCTAATTTGATGTTTCATTCTTTGCAGTATGATGTGGTAGAACTAATGGTAAGCCAAACACCTTTAATGGTTTCATTGATGAGGAGATGAAAGGTAATTATATTTAGAATCTGAAATTAGATATGATGAGCATGAGTTGGCAAGGTGATGTATATTTATAATGAGAACATGGCAGCACATTGAGGAAAAGGGAATGCGAGTGAAGCAGTAAATGATTTAAGAATGAAAGAACGCAGCTGTGATAAGGAGAAAAGAAGTGAAAAACAAAAATTATAATAAATACTTCTCTACAGTACATACCCCTTACAAAAGACTAGATCTTTGCTTAACTGATAAAACCAATTTGCACAACTTGTGAGAATTAACAATTGATCCTATTAGGTGGTCAGACCAGTAAAGATGCCTTTCTCTACATTATACCCAGCACAGGGTCGCGGAATGTGGTGATTAAATTAATCTATTTTACAGAATCGAGATGTTGTTGAAGAACTTTAAAAAACCCTTTCTAATTACTTCTCTGAAAACACATAACTGCTAAGCTCTCCAGAAAATATTTGGTTAGCCCATAAGGTGATTGTGCAGGGACTTTTCATCCAGATAGGTGCGAGGGTAAAGTGGAAAATTGGTAAGGAACAAAATTAGCTACTCCGACACTTGGCTGACCTAGAGAGCCAACACAAACAGAATCCGACAAAACACATAGGAATACAAATTAGAAAAGCTCGCAAAGAGCTGGAGAGCATACAATTAGGAACCACAGAGTAATATAAGTTAAAGCTAAAACAAGAGCATTACTCACAAGGTAACAAAGCAGGCAAATTGTTAGCCAAAAATACACATAAACTAAAGTTCCCTTCATTCTTAACTCTGCTGGCGCTAAACTGGTGAACTTGACACAAATCTTAAAATTTGCAAATTATTATTATCCCTCTATAACTTAAAATGTGTGGTTTAACTCTCCCAAGAAGCCATTGATGACAGGGCCGTTAAGGAATTACTGAAAAGTAAAGCCAGATGCCCTGTTGGCTTCACCAACTTCTACTACATTACATTTGCAGAGCTTTTAGTACCACAGTTAACTGCATTATTCAACATTCCATGGCAAAAGTCCTCCAAAAAGAAATATATGTGAGCTTGATCTCTAACGCATATGTATTTTTTTTTTTTTTTATTCTTTATTTTGTTGTGCACAAGATAACAGACAAGGTTAACAATGCCAAAACAGCATTGTCAAACACATAAAATCAGACATAGTAGGACACTGGCATGGCATGTATATTAAGAGAACATTTTGTGAAAATAAAATATAAGTGAGACAAGGATGATGCTGTGTGTGCGACTAAGAGAGCAGTTATAGCAAGTTATTAAACATTATAATATAATTATGACATCTCTGATATAGCTATAGGGTTGAGATGCACACATCACAGAAAACACTCCACTGGGATTTAACCTTCTACTTATAACAAAGCGTCACAGGCCTCAAGTGTTGAAAATAAACTAAAAAACAACAGGTCAAAATTAATCAAAAGTATAGCTCAGGATGGCAGTCACTGTTATCATGCAGTTAGTAAGTCTGCAACGATAGGCTTTTATGTTGCCAAAGTCCCCTTTCACCCAATTCTAAAAGTTGACATGCCAGTAGAATAATTAGGTGGATAAACCTGGGCAGACTGGAGAGATAGATCCTGAGGACTCGCAGCCCTGGTGAGTGGGAGCAAGTGTGATGTCCTGGTCTTCGGCTCTTATGCCCACCGCTTGCGTCTGCACCTCAGTGATTCACGCATATGTATTTAAACAGGTAGGCAAATCAGAGTCTCTCAATCAGGTCCAATAAAATATACAAACATATACAAAAAGGAAAGGGCAGCACCTTGATGTAATTCTTGAGGTAGAGGTGTTTCCAGAAGTAGTAGAATATGTGGAGACAGGAAATATAGCAAGATATAATGACAATTAAAATAAGAAAAAAGGATTTGCACTGACGGTTTGTAGAGCTAGGATAGCTCTATCTGGTTGCGCCTGGGCGGTATAATCCCCACCCAAGGATATGTGGTGTCTTCTTATCTTAAAGTGCCATAGTGCCATAATCTTCAGCTAGATACAGAAGGTCAGTATGATATCATCCCTGCCTTATGGGCTCACTGGAAGTATTAAGCAAATTAGGGTATTGCTCACTACAGTGCTCAGGTGGTATTTTCCCACCAAAGGAATATGTGGTCCCAAGCTTTTGGAGTATTCCTCCTGAAATGCTAGAGGCAAATAGAATAACCATGCCTAAGCCAGTCAAACTCACTAACAAGTGCGAAGATACCACCTAATCTTGATATTAAATGCAAGTACAAAAATGTTGCCAATGTTATAGCCGAAATCACCTAAAGCCACTGTTATCCTCTTTGGTTTCAAAGGAACAAGTGAGTATTGTCACTGGTTATCAGGCGGGAGACACACCAGATGCTTTTTATGCCTTATGGAGATCTTGCATAGAAAGGCGGCTTTGGGGCTATTTGCTGGCACTCAACACTGAGAAGACCTTCAATCACTTTCTCTGTAGCTACATGACAACGGTCCTTTGCAAGTTTAGTTTCCCACCTAGTTTCCCAAGAGTGATTCTCACACTATACATCACACCATCAGCCAAAATCCTCAATACAGGTTTCCTTTCAAGAAAATTATTTGTATACAATGGTACAAGGCAAGGGTGTCCCTTGTCACCACTAACTTTTATCCTCACACTAGAACCTTTGGTCAAGCACAATTAGATGAACAAATCAAAGGCCTGTCTACCACACTAGGTTACCATAAAATAGCAATTTTTGCTGATGACATGCTGCATCTCTTAACAAATCCTTTGCCACTTTTGATGGAGTTATTTAACACTTATTGGACAGTATAAGAACAATATCTCCAAAACACAAACACTACCACTAAATATGGTCACTTCAGTCAAACAAATCCTCTCCGAGCAATACTTGATTTATTGGAGAGAAAAAATATTTGCTTACTTGGGAATACAGTTGGCAACCACGAAACACACTCTAATTCAGGCCAACCACTCAAGATTAATTTCCAAACTACAACATACAGTGCATACGTGGGAGACAAAAATGATATCATGGCTAGGCTAGGTAAATTCATAGTTAAATAATGGTGCTCCCTCAAATATTATTTCTGTTCGGGACTCTTGTCCGGCATTGATTGTTACTTGAAAAACAAAAGCCATCCACCACTGTCTATGGTGCTGGAGAAACTAAACAAAACCGAGCTTTATAAAGAAAGGATGCACAGGTTCACAAATACAAATCACATTTTCACCCGGACCTGAGCTGGATGGCAGTTGATTAATCTAACAGATGGGGTGTAATATGCTACAATTATGCTACAAATGATTCTCTGCTTTATAGACTTTTTCTACAAGCTAATTGTCCTATAAGCACTCATCTCTACAATGGGATAAACTCTATGGTCAGACCCTGGCTAATGTATATTCTACTAATATGTGTTATGCAATACATGTATTTTGATCTACTATCTTATATTCCAACAAATGTTATGTAAATATTATTAGTGGTTTCACCTCACAATGCCATTTAAATCTCTATGTATGAATAGCGAATATTTTTTTGTAAATTAAATTTAAAAAAGCAAAAAAAAAAATAAAAATAACAAAACAAAAAAATAAAACAATACAATAAGATAATAAAAAAAAAAGCCAAATTGAAAAAAACTCTTGTAAGTCAGCTTTGCATTCAGTTCAGCTACTTTGGCCTTGAATTTAAATTTCACTTTGAATTTACTTTGAATTCTCACTACAGTAAATAATCACGTTAGAGAGGGAATAATGCATAATTAAGGATGAAATAGAGGGAGATTTAAAGTTTAATGAGAAGAATATGTGGCTGCTGGCAGGGCCAATATATTAATACTCAGGGAGGATGTTATTGTGTTAAACAGGTTAATCACTTGTCATGTTATTTGCCTCCCTTGTGATATAAAGGATTCTAAGAGTAACCGTATTGCCCAGTGGCTGGATATTAAAACTAAGTCTGGAATTGTTGACCTGAGCTTTAACCTGACCTCTGAGCCTCTCCTTGGCACCTACACTATTAATGTGGATAATGGGCAGACGCTGAAAACCTTTATTGTCCAGGAAGAAGGTAGGCATGTATCCATATTTCAGAAAGGATAGGAAAATACTATTATTTTCCATGTGTTTCTATTCAGTAGCAGTATAGGGATCATACTGTATCTAAGAACATTAATTAATTAATGCAACAATTCCAATAAAATAACTGTAATATACATCAAAGAAACTGCACACTGCCTATCAGTGTTGTTCCATAGGTATAAAATAAGATATAAAATACAATACTGGCGCTGAACCATGTATTTAACAGGACATTGGCTAATTATGGAGTTGTGGGCATTTGGGACTATTAGTGGAAGAACAAATTATGGGACACGAAAGGTTCACTGAGCACAATGGGAATAAAATGAATGTCATATTGTACATGAAAGTCCTCTAATAAGTGAAAGATGATTTGGATGGTAATGGTATAGTAATGGGGGTCATGGACACTGACACCTTTAGTTGCTCAAAAAAGGGAACAGTAGATGATGTTCATGTCCCTTGGAGCTCGTAAAGAAAGACATGAACCGATATAATATATAATGTTCATATCTCAGTCGTTGCAGTTAATCATTTCTCTGTTTTCACAAAACTAGTCTTATTTATACATTGTAACAATCATTGTCCTTGATATAGATTCTCCGTAGACTCTCAGTTACCTTCTGTTCTTTCTCCTCTCTCCATTTTCTCATGCAGTGCTGCCACGGTTTGAAGTGATAATTGAAAACCCAAATCAAATTTATATGTTGGATTGCTCATTCCAGTTGAAAGTCTGTAGCAGGTATCACTTATGATAAAAATAAATGGCTGTTTGAGCTTCCACTGAAATGTACTTCAAAAATATTTGTAATGTCAATTCTGTTTAAAATGTACGTCTGTCGTCAATGTTCCCAGTACCCTGACTACAGACATCTTTGGGGTCTCCATTTCAGGCAGATACTGCAAAGGGAAGCATTTGTTGCCCAGCCTCCCTCTTTCATTAAGTACAGACCTTCCTGCCTCCCTATACCATAAACTATAGAGATGAGGCAAGATGATCATGGATAATCTACAGGGTATACACAATTCACATTGGATACTATTTTTGCCATGTATACAGAAGGGACTATATAATCAGTCTTTATGCATAAAGGAGAAATCAGTCTAATAGAAGTTTCAATTCATTGATTCTGTTTTAGGAGAGAATATTACTTGTATTTAATTGTTTAAACCTTAGTTATACTGTTTCTGTATAGTATTGTATCAGTTGTCGTCATTATAGCTGAAACAGCAACCAGTGACATGTATGTACAGCTACATAGTTTGTTTTCTTGGTCAGTTTTTATTTGTCCTTTATTATTGACCATGAGGTCCTACGGATAAGTCAATGTGTCTTTCTTATATGTTCAGATATACATACGGAAAAGGAGTCAGTGGGTCTATTAAAGTTCATATGTGTTACTCCACGTATAGTCAACCAGATAATATTTGTGCCACAGATGAAGGTCAAGTAAGTATTTCATAACCATGAGACAGTTAATGCATATTAGTCTTATCTACACAAAATGTTTTGAATTTAGTGAATTCCTGGAACAATTCCTTTCTGGTGTTCAGCTGAAAGATTATTTGAATTTGTTGCAGGTTTATAGTTGTCTAGTTTACAGAAATTACCTTTATTGATTACCTTCAATTAGGCCACAATCACAACAGTCATAAAGAAACCATTATATAAATGGGTTTATTTACTAATTTAAGAGGCAAAATTTAGGCAAAATGGCTAGCTATATCAGCTTAAATTTGCAATTTAGATTTCCATTTACTAAATTATAGAAAGTATACATAAAAATATACTTGTGCATTCGTTTTTAACCTCATTGTAATTTGTCCAAATTTAGCCTGATTGTCAAGTTGTCTGGATTCCATAACTCTGAAGCTCCATATGAATGTAAAACGGAACAAATTACTCACACAATGGTCAAGCATGTTCATGTAATTCCTAATTTAGAGTTTTGTCTCTCGCACCAAAATTAAATGATTGATGGTTGGGGACAGCCACTAAATGTTGATTTCATTCACAGATCAAGTGAGACGTGACCAATAGAGAGGAAATTAAGGAGGATCAGTTAGAAAAAAATCTATAATTTTAATATATTTGATAAATATAGATTATTTTTTTTTACTGGCCCTCCACCTATCCTTGTATTGTTTATATCATCTCACTTGATCTGTGAACCAAATGGCAGTAACATGTGTTTCTCGGTGTGCTGTTACATATATACATAATATTTATACTATGTATATATTTTGTGTAACGGCACCCCCAGGCATAAAAGGGGTTAAAAGCCATTTAGTAGATCTTCCCTTCCATAGACACAGGCACAGCTACTGTAGACACCAATACACCAAACCGGAGAAGCATATGAATGCCGTAAACAGCTGAATAGGAAAACACATACGAATAGGTTTACACTCCTAGCAGTCAAACTGGAACAGCATACAATAAATCCCCCCAAGAATGAGACAAAGCTCCGTGTTGAGGGTCAAGCAGTGAACAGTCAGAGCTGTGGGTTTATTGTTCTTATATACACATTAGTACCACCCACAGGGTTTTGGAACACAACCAATAAACACATACAATACACTCAGACACTGCCACACAAAATCCTCCCCATTGCCTGTGATTCAATTACCTTACACAATGGGTAATGTAATTATAACAAGCAGAGAAATAAATTTTTTCCACATTATTCATAACTTGCATCACATTCACATAAAACTTACATTTTCAGAATCAGCATAGTCCAAATACAAACATATGTCAAAATCATCCAAATTGGTCCAGTGGTTCAAAAGATAGATCATAGTCCTTTGTGACCAAAGGAAGCATGGCTTTTCTGCCCAAAACCAGTTCCACAGAGTCTTCTATCCTGGAGATAATTAGGAAGTAATCCAATTATCTTCCCGGACAGAGGCAAAACTCCATTGAACACATGGTAGCAAAAGACAATAAAACACATAAAAACATATAACTGTGCAGCCATTGTACAAAACAGGTACATTCAACATATCCCCAGATAGCTCAGATCTGAGTGCACATTATTACTGAATGGCGCTCAGAGCACACACATACAGTTCAATTGCCATGGAGCCAAAGTCTTTTCCATAGTCTTTCATTATACGAATGGGCTCCATGGCATAGCTATCTGGGGTATCACCGCTCAAACAGGGCACGCACCGAAAGACCCGGCTTTCATGTCTTCGCAGGGGAAAATCAAGCGTTTCAACATGGGGCCATAGTCTAAAGGCAGCAGGTGGGCAACCAGGCTTCTCCAATGCAATGTGGCGAGATTGCTCTCGTCACATTTTGCACTACACTAATTGGACCATTTTCATGCCCTTTTGGTTTATCCAAACAATTTCTCTGAATATTTTGAGTGGACGATATTCGTAGAACCACACCGCCAAATAGATGACTATTGGACTATTGATCTACAAAAAATATATTTTTTTGGTCAAACCAAACTTTTACTCCATATAAAAGTCTGTGAAAATTCAGACTTTAGTCAACAAACCCCAGTGTTGCTCTACAGATAAACAGAAAGCGATGATACAACCCTTATAGCTGGTATTTCTGACTATACATCTTACTGATAGACTGATGGTGTGTGTATCTCTCTTCCTATTTATTTTCTCTCTTTCTTTTTCCTTCCAACAGACAGACCTAAATGGTTGCTTTTCCAAAAGAGTTGAAACGAAATACTTAAACCTATCTAACTTTCAGTATTACTCTGTCTCCTCAATGAAGATATTTGCAATTGTTGAAGAGGCTGGAACAGGTGAGTGTGAATAGTCCGAGTAGGTCTTCCTCAATTTCTTACTAAAACCTTTAGCGGTTATTTGTGATTAATACTTTCACAGTAAGGACAGAGATCGCAATTAATAATTGAAATCACCTTTACTTACAGGGTGGTCAGAAATGGGGACAAATGTGGCCATGGTGCCTGGAGTCTGTATGTGCACTATTTCACTGCAAAATGCTGTGAAGCATCATTGGGACATCCAGGCTGGCCAATGTCAATTTGTGCATATTTCTGTGCACAGAGTTGCATTCATTGCTCTCAGTCAATAAATGAGGGGCAGGTTTGGCACCTGGCTTCTTTAGCTCTGCAGAAGCCGGATATCATAACCTGCTGAAGAGTACACCAGACACCTGACAAGACCAGGTAATAGGGCAAACTATTGTAAAACATTGTAGCATTAGGGTAATCTTGGCATTATAACCAATACAAAAGCCCAAAACAATGCATGTTAATTTACTAAATTTACAAATTTTACTTAATTTACTAAACATCCTTTGGACAGAGATGGCACTCTTTGGGTCTGAGTGTTGTGGGAGTTGTTCCCTTCCTTGTTTCCATTGTTTCTGTACAGGGCACCTAGTTTTGGATAAAGTTTAGATGCAAGTTTTTTCTATGTGGAGGGCAAAAGATAGATTTGAGTCTAACAACATACCCAGGTATTTGAAAGAGTGGACTGTGGTAAGTGTGCTATTTGATTTTGTTTTGATGGATAGGTGGGGATTGTGAAATTTGTGTAATTTAGGTACTGTTCCAAAGATCATTAATTAGCTTGGCAATCAGGGTAGTGGAGCATCCAACAAAATAATTGTTAAAGGCATTTGCTATATCTAACGGAAGTTGTAGGGCTTGGTTATCCACTTTCACAGTGGAGGGTTGGTAGTGTATTGGGGGAGTTTGTAATTTATTTATGACTTTCCAAATTTTCTAGGGTTTGATATGTTATTGTTCAGATTTCCACAGAAATATTGGACCTTGGCCATTTTTTTTGTTTTGTGCATATATTTCACCATTGTCAATATGCACAGTGATTGTTCATAGAGCCAGTACGCTTGAACTTTGACCACAATGAATCCCGAAACTGGTTCATATGAGTCTATTAATGATTGTTTATTTATAATAAAGATAATCTGCACTAGATTGTGTTTTTTATTTTTTTCATATTTTCTCTGACCAATGGATGTTAAGTATATCTTTAAATGCAACACTTGTTTTTGGATAATTTTGTCACTGTAGGTGATTGCAGCTTGCCCATTTTGCACACACAATTGATTTGATTTGGCTTAACATATTTTTTAAGCCCAATCCACTTTTGGGTTGTTAAAACCAATACTGCTGACAATCTTCAAAACCCTATTTCCAGGTGCAATAAATGACCTTTTTGGTTATGGACCTAGGTGCCAAAATGCAATGGACATGGCTGTAATACTGACAGGATAACCAGCTTTATGGTTTATTCACTAGACCAGGAATTGTGGGATAGCGAGTTGAAAATTGTATACCAATTTAACTTTAATAATAAAAATGACTTAGTTGGATAATTAGCAATTTTGGTCTAAATTAGCTTTATCCTTGTCAGTTTCTCAACACTTCATTTCTGATTTAGTGAATAACACCTATGAGTTTTATTGAACCTAATTCAAGCACTGTTTTTAGATCATTATGAGAACTGGTGGAGTTCCTGTTCCCTGTTGCCATAATACAGACCAGGACCGCCGGGCTCATTACAAGCCGGACGGTCCTGTTGGGGGCTGGCAGAGAGCTGTAACTTAACTTCCTGCAGCTCCTGTCAGCTCCCTTCTCTCTCCTCCGGGAAGCTCCTCTGTCAGCTCCCCTGCAAGTCTCGCGAGAGCCGCGGGGTCAGAGCATTGCCACGGGTTACCGTGGCAACGCTCCGCGCGGCACTCACACTGCGAGTCTTGCAGGGGAGCTGACAGAGAAGCTTACCGGAGGAAAGAGAAGGGAGCTGACAGGAGCTGCAGGAAAAGGTAAGTGTATGGGGGGCAGTGTATGTGTAGGGTGTGTGTATGGGGGGCTTTTTTATAATATGCTTTTTTTTAAATGTATTTAATTAAAATTAATATACTTTATGTCCCCCCCTCCCTTCTTACCTTTACTGGGAGGAGGGGGGACATTTCTCCATCCCTGGTGGTCCAGTGGGGAATCCCTGGTGGTCCCAGTGGTAGGAGTGAACTCTAGCCCGCAGTGTATGTGTATGGGGGTCAGTGTGTGTATGGGGCAGTGTGTGTGTGTATGGGGGGCAGTGTATGGGGCAGTGTGTGTGTGTGTATGGGGGGTGTATGTGTGTATGGAGGGCAGTGTGTGTATGGGGCAATGTGTGTATGGGGCATTGTGTGTATGGGGGGCAAAGTGTGTATGGGGTGGTGTGTGTATGGGGCAGTGTATGTGTATGGGGGCAGTGTATATGTATGGGGGCAGTGTGTGTATGGGGCAGTGTATGTGTATGGGGGGCAGTGTGTGTGTAGGGTGTGTGTGATAAGGCTGGGGGGGGCTTTTTCATAATATGCTTTTTTTTAAATGTATTTACATTTTACTGCATTCGTACACACACACTGCATTCATACACACACACACACTGCATTCATTATATACACACACTGTAAATAAATATTCATTTAATATAATTTTTGGGGGATATAATTTTATTTAGAACGTCACCAATAGCTGCTGCATTTCCCACCCTAGTCTTATACTCGAGTCAATAAGTTTTCCCAGTTTTTTGGGGTAAAATTAGGGGTCTCGTCTTATATTCGTTGTGACTTATACTCGAGTATATACGGTATCTTAATGTCTCAGGGAAAACATTTGTTTTGTCTACAATCTAAACTTAGCAGAACTTTGCAGAGATCCTTACAGAAGCACACAAAAAGTGTATTTCAGAATTCCTTTCAAATAATGTCAGTTTTAATGTTAAAACTGAGATTACAATAAATCCAATAACGTTTTAAAAGCAAGTCATGAGGGCACAATCAGAGCAGCAATTAGTGTATAAAGAATTTGCCTTAATTTGGCAAACATACAAGGCCATAACTAAAGGGTACATATGTCATGGAAATTTTCCTGACTAAGTTCAAGATGGCATCTTAAAGTCTGGACATCCTTATCTACTTAAGGTTACTGCAGTATATTGTGTACTGCAAGAGTCGTAGCATAGCCTTGAAGCTTGTTTATGCATTATTGTTATTGTAATTCGTCTGGGACAAATTGGCACAAACATATTATGCACTGAGGTTATTGCTTAAAGAAACAGTTATGAAAAACAATATGTTCCATTTCTAACACCTTGTCAGTTTGCAATATCGCTTAAAGACAAAGTACACAGTTTAAGAAATACAACATTTCATTCTAAAACTTGTAATATTTACATTTTCCGATAACAAAAGGACCCATATAATTAGAAAGAGGTCATTTTAAATATTGGACACGTAACAGTTATTGTGTAACAATAGGATCTTTCTGTTCCAGGGGTGAAGATCTCATCAGATAAACAAATTCCTTTGTCTTTCAATGACGGAACATTAAAGTTTCAAGAAATGGATACATATTACAAAGTAGGACATCCATATCGAATAATGGTAAGAGAAGGGTTCCTGTGGCATTCAAGGTCTCTGGGATTGGGTAGCTGTGGTATGCCTAATGGGGAAGACATTGATGGTGTTGTGTTGGTGATACCCAGATGTGATGATCAACGAGGATACAAAATAAGCTAAAACTTAGGCCTGTGTAGTTTACTTTGCTGTCGCATTACCATGAATTAACTAAAACTGGCTGATACGTGGTGAAATGTTTAATAATCTTACCATGTGAAATTTGTGTAAATTGTAATTGTTCAACATAGGGTTACTTACTAAAGTAAAAATTCAAACTAAATTCAAGGCCAGCCTAGCTGAGCTGAAAGCATAGCTGCATTTTTCCAGCTTGACTATTTTTAACTTAGGTTTGAAATTCACTTTTTATTATTTTAATAAATAACTCTATACAGTGTGAGGCCAAGTCACAATGACAAGGTGTTGTTAGCACAGATATTGATGCAGTGTACTCTGGACAGATTACTATGAAGGGTCATGGTAGTTTCACATATTTTGTATAAATTACAGTGCCAGGACAGGGTGATACAGGGCTGGATTAACATAGGGGCTGATGGAGCTGCAGCTCCAGGACCAGGCCCAGGCCCAGGCCCATGGAATAGGCCCATTTAAAAAAATGGCCCTTTTTTTTTTTTTTTTTTACACACTACTCTTGGGTTTGCCACCTGATTGGTATTTTACCTGCACAGCCAGTATTTGAGATTGCCCGGCCGTACCGGTATTGCAGTAATACCGGCAATACAAATGCAGATATTTTTCTAAGTATACACTGAGATTACTCTGCAATACCAGCACCAGCCAGTAAGGGTTTCTGTGTGTGGAGAGAGCCAGGGATAGGAAGTTTCAGCATATCCCTCCCTGCCTCTCTCTACTCACTGATCCGCGGGGGAGCAGCTACACAGCACAGAGAATTCAGACAGCAGCTCCCAGCCTGCAGAGACAGACTACAGCTCAGTAAAGTGAAGGATGGAGAGAAAGGCAGACATAGGGACATTGGGAGACACATTGGGACATGGAGACACTAGGGACACAGTGTCTCCATGTCTCCCAGTGTCCCTATGTCTCCCAGCCAGTGTCTCAGTGTCCCCTAGTCTCCCAGTGTCTGTGTCCCCATGTCTCTCAGTGTCTCCATGTCTCCCAGTGTCCCCAAATGTCTGTGTCCCCATGTCTCACAGTGTCCACATGTCTCCTAGCCAGTGTCCCTAGTTTCTCAGTGTCACCATGTCTCTCAGTGTCCCTGGTGTCCCCATGTCTCCCAGTGTCCCCAAATTTGTCATGTTCCCATGTCTCACAGTTTCCCCATGTCTATGTCCACAAGTGTCCCCATGTCTCCCAGCCAGTGTCCCTAGTGTTTCAGTGTCCCCATGTCTCTCAGTGTCCCCTAGTCTCCCAGTGTCTGTGTTCCCACGTCTCAGTGTCCCTAGTGTCTTAGTGTCCCAAATGTTTCAGTGTCCCCATGTCTCCCAGTGTCTGTGTCCCCATATCTCTGTGTCCCTAGTGTCTATGTCCCCATTTCTCTCAGTGTCCCCATGTCTCCCAGTGTCTCCATGTCACCCAGTGTCCCCATGTCTGTATCCACAAGTGCCCCCATGTCTCCCAGTGTCCCCAGGTGTCTTGGACAGGTGAAGAGTCAGCGTGATGCTGTGTAGTGTCAGCATGATGCTGTGTAGGGTCAGTGTGATGCTGTGTAGTGTCAGCATGATGCTGTGTAGGGTCAGTGTAATGCTGTGTAGTGTCAGCATGATGCTGTGTAGGGTCAGTGTGATGCCATGTCTTCTGAACAGATGCATTGTAGAAAATGGTGCATGACTTGGACAAATAATGGTGCATTGTTCATATTATACTTCGGATCCTGTACTGATAATGTTACAGTATTCAGATTATACTATGTGTTCTGTAAAGATAATGTTGCTGTATCAGGATGACACTGTGTCAAGGAGGATGTTATGTTTTTTTATAAAACAGAGCAGGATCTGAGTAACACTGTGGGTTTTCTGCATATATTTATTTTGAGCGGTTACTGCAATAAATACAAACTTTACCAATGAGAGAACTAACTGAAATTGCATTGCTTGGGAAATATTCCCACACGATGCAATAGCTGATATAGTGTGCAAAAACCTTTATAAGGTCTTTCTCCCCTAAGAGACTTCAGTCTGCGGCAAGCCCTTGTGGTGTGAAGATTAATATTTTTTTTTTGCTCCAGGTTTTTTTTTTTTTTTTGCAGTCTGGTCCTTTTTTAATTTTAATAGTTGTCACAGAACTTTATGGATTTTTATTTGGTCTTTTTGGGGCTGAAGAAATGAATATGGAAGGAAAAAGAAGACTTTTATGGTAAATATGACATTTTTATTTTACAGGAATTTTGTTTATTGCCACCCTCATTATTATTAGGGTGAGAGAGGTAGATAGTGTATTTTCATTGGGGGAGGTGATTAGAGGTTTGGGAACCATGAGGAACTGGGAGAAAAAAAAAAAAATTATATATATATATATATTATTAATAGCCCCCACCTGCTGTCAATGGGTGGGTGGCTGGTGTTACTATAGGTCCCTCCCTTGTTTATTATTTAAAATTACCACCAATGTGCGTGTACTGGGGAGACATTAGATTCCACCTCACCATTTATTATTTAGAGCCCCCAACCCAACGCCAATAGGTTGGGGAAAAATATGTCCCCCTTTGGGATATTGTATTAGAGCCCTCACCTTCCACTCAGGGATGCGGGCTGGGGGACTAGGAACCCCTGGTTTATTTTATTTAATAGCTCCCGCGTGCTAGTCATGGATTGTGGCATGGGGAACACTATGTCCCTCCTTGCTTTATCATTTTATTAAATGCCTTCAAAATGACCATGTCCTTTATTGGACTAGTGACAGGGCAGCAATTGTCACAAGCTGCCTGCTGTTTAATAGACCTGCCCCCACCTACAGCGTGGCTGGTAGGGGCATGATGAAGGACTTAAACCTTCAATATACTAATATGGGGGTTATATTGACCACCATATACTTGCCGTATTTAATCCCCCTCACTTGCAGAATTGGATGAGGGAGACATGAAGGGATTTAGGAAGTGGCTCCCCTTTGCTTCCATTTTTAAAATAATCAGTTTACAAGGAGGAAGCTGGTCACTCCCTCCTTGTAATTAAACAAATCATTCTTTGTTTAAATCATTGTAGTATGCATTCGTCCATCCATTGTCTTTCTGAAAAATGAATGAATTGCCAAGAATTCAGATGAAAAGTTATTTGTGCCGATACCAAATGCACAAGTCTAGTTGGGAAAAGTAAGGTGTAATGTTCTTTACACTTGGTGCACATATTGGTTGTGGCTTATGGTCTTTGTCAGCCTGTTCTGTTACTTAAGATCTTGGTGAAACAGGTAATTTTTTTTATTTTTGATAATTTGATAGATGAAGATAGGTCACAATCATGCTGTGTGTTTTTGGTTTAGTTGGTGATGCAGAAGTGGGATGGAAGTCCACTCCAGTTTTTAAGAGCCTCTCTCCAAATCGTCTTTGACACCCAGACAGATACCATGGAAGATCAAGCCAATAACATGGGCCAAATTGTTTTCATCCTGGATACCTCCAAATGGACTGGATCTGTCTACCTGACCGTGAGCTTTTTAGTCTTTCACCCATGTAATCTTCACAGGCACAAAATCACACATTAATCCCCATTTCTAGCTATTATATTTACTGCATTTGAACATTTTACCTACTTTAGGAGCACTTTTTTACATGTTTTCTTTAACTGGAATACTGTCAAACAAGTATCCACCACTCATTAAGATGGAGTACGGTACTAAATTTTGTTATTCCACAGTCCACTCGGTTAAGTTTCAGGTTAAACAAGAGTGATTTCTTACATCTAAAGCTTTTATAAAACAAGTAAATAAAGGGTAATGGGTTATATTATATTGTCTTTCTGCCTGTTCTAAAATAAAACTGTGTACTAATAACAATGAATAAAGTGCAATTATAAAGAGCTGCCAAGCTGACTGGATTGGCTCTTTCAATTCAATATAAAGTGCAAATGGATTAAAAAAGTGTCTCTCTTGCAAATTTCCTGCAAAATACACATAAATGTAAAATACTATTAATATAAATCACCTAACATGTCAGTGCATCAAGACAGGTATTTGATTACCCTAAGGTTTAGTATATTCACACATGAAACAAAGAGAGAGAGAGAGATACATGCAAATGTAGTGCAGTAATATAACAAGTATGGTTTGCGCGACATCGATGTAACCTTACAGCCATGGAGAGTGGAGTGGAATGCGCATGCATGAACAATCATTACTTCACTATACTAGTCAGTGGAGTGTGAGATGCTGTTGATATATCATGTGTACTGTGTGGCCATCGCATTCAAAATGACTGAGCGAGTAGAGCAGCGAATCTGCATCAAATTTTGTGTTAAGCTTGAACATTCCTTTGCAGAAACTGTTCACATGATTCAGAAGCTTTTGGGGATGGTGCAATGAGTGCAGTGTATATAAAAGTGTGGCACAAATTCTTCAAAGGAGGTCGAGAATCTGTTGCGAGATTTGGTGCCCTTCGACTTCTTGCTTTTCCGAAAACTAAAATCACCTTTGAAAAGGAAGAGATTTCAGATTGTCGATGAGATTCAGGTAAGTAGTACAACAAGGCAGCTGATGGTGATTCCAACAAAGGATTTTGCAAAATGCCCTGAACAGTGGAAGAGATGCTGAAAGAACTGTGTGAGTGCCTAGTTCGAATTGAACTGAGGCATTATTGTCCAATTTGTAACGAGTTGAAAATTTGTACAATATTTCTTGTGTCTTGTATATATCTATTTTTCATATTACCTGGCTGGATACTTTTTTGACAGACCTCGTATAATAACAAATAATAAAAAACAATGTACATACAAAAGAACAAACACACACAAAAAAAGCATCAAGTGTGCTAATTGTGCTTTGTCCCAAGGACCACTTATTTCTGAACTGTGCTTGGATCTTCTCCCTGTTCAAGAAGTCCTTTGCATGCAAGAAGACCTTTATATGCAAAAGATCTGGTTCCTAGCTTATTTAACTTCTTCAATAGCTTGTGTCTTCTTATGGGACAGTTTTCTGTCTTATACTGCTCTCCATTAGTAGTGATGAGTTCCTCCTATTCAATGATGTTATGGTGCCCTGCACCGTACAGATCTAGGCATAATAATGTCACAATATGAAAGCTGTCACTGCACTCAGCATCAGACATACACAAGCACAGAAGCGTAATCTTCATATCCACAGTAGCTTGACCTTCTTCCACCCACCTGATTGAGGAATTCAGAATTAACTAACTTTATTGTGATAGTAGAACAACAGTTACATAGAAGCTGGTTTCCCAACGTATGCTAAACTATGCCTAATGCGATGTGTGTATTGGGAGCACTAGTGGTATGCAAATGTATCCTCTACATAAAAAACACACATATACAGCTCTTCATATACCACAAGACCAATAAGATAAATATCATGCAAATTCATAAAAAAACAATACTTTAATAATCTTTATTGCATTTTATAAACCAGCAAATATCACTACAAACACTCTTCTAATTGTACCGATTGTATGCTATAAACTTTTACAAAACTTTTGGTAAATGCTATCTTTAATAGCATTTATACCATAATATTTCCACTTTGAATTTAACAGAAACAAATATATCACTTATATATATATATATATACACATTCATTAACAATAAATTATATAAACTGAAAATAAATATAAAAATTAGATAAATGTATAAAATATAAATAAATAAAAATAAAAAATAAAAACAAAAAATTTAAATTAAATAAACAAAGCTGTGATAAAAAATAAGAAGGTTAAATTTACTCAGTTCATCAAAAACAGAGGATGAAAGACATTATTTAAATACCTAACTGTAGCGTAATGCTGTAGCGATACTTACCTGCTTTGTGCCGAGCAGCACCCCTCTAGATGCATGGCTTGAAACCTGTGGAGAGAAATATACTTACTCATTCGGCACCTGCGAATTGCTCCTTTTCATTCACCAGTGCCAGGCCGCCGATCTGTGCACACAGAAGCTTGGATACTGCTCACTCCAAGGACGCATCCTTAATTAAATTTAAAATTCACACCCGCCGTTAAAGGGATCAAGACTAATCGGAACACATGTGAACCTATTTAAAGCCTGTTTAGTCCCTTGCTCATTGCCCTATAGTGGTTTCTGTTTGGTTTAATGTTTAGTGCTTCAAGCCACTCTCTTGTATATTCCTGTTATTGACTTTGGCTTCATTTTGACTTTTAGAACTTCTGGTATCCTGACTTGACTTGTATATTGACCTTTGTATTTCTATATTTCTGACCCGGCTTCTTTCTCGTGTATCAGTATTTCTGTATTCCTGACCTTGGCTTGTTCTGACTTTGATTCTATCTTTTAATACGTTAAGTCCGGCCATTCTGAGGCTCGGTAATACAGCTTTTTGGTCCCTCATTTTGTGCATTTCCTCTTTTCTGTGTGTTAGGGAAGCAACATCGGTCACAAATACCTAATACATATAAAGAAATAAATACATTTATAAATCAGTAATCCACTAAATTAATTAAAGGGACACTCATTGAAATGGTCTGAGTGCACATTCCCAGGTCCCTTAACCCTGCAAAGGTAATTTTAGCAGCTTTTAATAAACTACAATAATTACCTATCTGGGTTAACTCCACCTCTAGTGGCTGTCTACCAGACAGCTACTAGAGGGAATTCCGGGTCATTATTTAAACAATTAAGACCCAGCATTTTTTTTATTAAAAATACATTCAGTTTCTTATCTTGTAAGTGCCAAGGTGAAATCACATTCCCGGTAATATGGTTCCAATACATAAACACATATTAAAATCAAATACTGGACAATTTTGACATTAAACTTTTCTTCCTATTTCCATAGAAGTGCACAAATAATCTATCCTAAAGGGTAGTCTTCACTTCTCATTGCATTCCACATTTTTCACTTTTATTAGTATTATGCACAATATTTGTGCCAGAGACACTTTTATTAATCTTTCTGTCTCTTCTCTTGCTCTTTGTCTAGTCAGACTATTCTCTCTTTACCTTGTTTATGATCACCTTGTTTTCCTAGGGCTACTATAAAACACTGTATAATACAAACAGAAACCCCATGGATCCTTATTATAATCCAGTCTCTCATACGGTGCACCCATATTACAGTGAGGCACAGAGTTTCCTAAAGATGAATCCTATATTTAGCGCCATTACATGTGGGAAACAAGTAAATATCAACGTAACATATGAACTCAGCCCAATGGATCTCAGGCAAGACTCCAAAAGTGTTCCATTCACCTATATTGTAAGTGTGAGCATAACTCCTATTCTAATGATTTGCAATGTTCTTTTTATATGTGGTAGAGATGGATTGGGTAATGGTTAGTAATTGATTAGGTAAGAGTTAATGGTGAATACTGGCCAATTTGTGGAAAAAAAAGGTAAAGTATGGAAACCTGTCACATTGGCTTTGATGTGATCACCCAATATATAGAATTAATCTGTGGGATTACACCAGGGGCATACATTTTGACATTTCAAATGGACTAAGAGGGACACTTTAATTTTAAGGGTGTGAGTGGAGGTGTGGTCAGGGATGGGTCAGTTCTGAAAAATTTAAGGTGACTTGCTAATAACAGTGGATGTAACTAAGGTGCAATTTAGAACATAGATAATGTATCTTATTACATGGGCTGATTTCAAAACACATTTATTGTAGCATAAAGGCACATTACAGTAAGTATTATGGCTGTGGAGCTCTTTTATACACTCAGACACACCAACATATTGAGCTCCTAGAAAAGAGGGACATTAGGACAGAAAACAGATTACAATGGATTTGGGCCCAAAACAGAGTCTGCACCTCCTAAACCGGGAAACTTGGGAGGCACACAGGGGCAGTCAGTATATAGATTGCAATGTGTGTCATTATGTCAAGGTCAGATACAATATAGTTCGCAATGTGAGGGGTTCTAGTAATGGCAGGCATTGTGCAGAATTACATCATAGACAGTCATTATACAGAATATAATTTGTGGGATTATATATTTGAAAATTTTTGTTTTCTTGCAGATTATTGGAAGAACTGGGATTTTGGTATCTGGGCAAAGATTGATAATTCTTACCAAGGCAAATCGTGAGTGTAATTCTCATAAACCATGAATATGTATAGTTCCTAGAATACAGGGGGCTCTTATAGAATAGATATAGCGACATTTGTTGCTCATTGGTGATTGCTCCACTGTAACATTATGCTATTATTTATATAACACGAAGTAGTGTTTCCATCAAGGCGTGCATGATACATCCAGTGCTAATCTCTTTTCTTCATCTAGCTGTGAGAGGCACCTTCTATCTACCTATCACATTCACATCTGATTTTGGTCCAGCACCAAACATAATTGGTTATATTCTTCTAAATAAGGGGACAATGACCGCAGACAGACTGCATTTTACAACAGAGAGATGCTTTCCGAACAAGGTGAGTGGGAGACATAGAGATAGACACACTGCCTGAAGTAAAATAAAAAGAAACGGTTACATGCGCACTATCCTAAATTCCTGTGAACATTTAATCTGTAGTTTTTTAGTACTATTCCAATGGCCCTTAAAGTGTAAGCTCACCCACCACATCAGGGCAACCTTCCTAGGTGAGCCCTACAGTAATAATTCACCTTGCTTCTTTGAGACAGAGAAGGGTATTTTGACAACTACAATAGTCCTTGGGAGTGAAGGAGATGCCACTTCCACCATGTTTTCCATGGCACATATTACTGATACTAATTGTCAATGTATGGAAAATGCTGATATGTAGTATAAAGAAAAAAAAATGCTTCAGGTAGTAAATCAGGCTGTACTCCGGCTGGGTACCTCCAACAAGGTTCACTTCCTAGCTGGAACCAGGGAAACCTCAGCGATTCTGCCCCGGTGGCTTGACTGAGGTCCTCCTGGAGCCTCTCCATCCTGGAACATGGTAGGGGACTAGCTTTATTTCCTCCCAGGCACTGGACGACACACAGTCCTGGGAGCTATAGTCCTTACAAGGACTTTCCCAGCTAAATCCTCCACGAGCTGGAACAGGATGCTGAGCAGTGAGTATAGCCCTTTCCCCTCCAACAACTGGACAACACACAGTTCTGAGAGTACAACTGATTTCAATGAGCCAAACTTGGCCTTTTATGCACAGAGCACAGCAGGAGGTCTAAATACAACACAGATAATTGAGTTAAGGACCGGTAAATTAATTATCTCCCAGGTAGAGATAGCCAAACATAAAAACATAAAAGTACACCAAAACATAATAAAACCATACAGTAACCCCACATGTCCCATATCCCCAAACAGACCTGATCTGAGTGCCCGAGTTGTCCAAATAGTGCTCAGATCCATAGAGTGTAGGGGAATCGCCACTGGGGCAAAGTTCTGACTGGCTGCACATGTGGTCTTATGCCCAAAATAGTTCCAGAGAGATGTGTGCTTTGGCCGGTCAACTTTTGGGAGCCTCTGCGACTGAAATAGAGGGTGCTCCAGCTGGCTCTCGGGGAGCATTTGTTCCTCTTAGTCTCAGGCACCTTTTCGTTACAAAAAGCACTCTCCTGGTGGGTCGTCAAGTTGGTTAAACTACTGAAACAAAAAGTCCTCATGCCGAAAATAGTTCCATAGCGGTCGCGGCTAAGTACCGCTGAGGACCATTCGTGAGTTTGTTTGAGCGAACAGCCACCAGGGAGCGAGCTTTGGTTCAATTAATTAGAGGGAAAGTGCTGAACCAGGGGCACAGAGGGAAAGCCGCTGGGCCAGCCGGGCACGTTAACTTCCAAATGAGGTCTCAGGACCCGGACCATAGTCGGTGGGAGGAGGTTGTGGCAAATGAATATGGAAATGAGCGTTTGTCACAGTGGCAATAGAATTAAAGAACCAAACTATAAAAAGGTTGTTAAGGCTCAGGTACTTGCCTTGTTTTGGTTCTTTTTTTGTTACCCCAAAGCACTTTATATTCTCTGTGTATTTCTGGTTTTTGATCTTGACTATACAGACTATTCTCCTTTCTATAATCCTTGTACCTCTTTATCCCTGATTTCTTCTTTCACTGATTCTGGCTTGTCCCTGACCATTCTCTGTCTCTTTAATGTAAAGCCTGGCTACTCTAAGGTCTGGTTTACATTTATTCTTGGTTGTCTATTACACACTGTGTACTGGGTCTCTCAGTATTCCTGACAGATATCTGCAGATCTCACATTTCATACAATAAACACTGCTTTAAGATCAGTAATTGTACACTAATTTTGCTCTGAGTTAGTGGCCAAATGCTGAGCTCCGATTAGAGCTTACTCAGATACTTAGCCGTGAATCCAGACAACACATGAAACGCCAACATCTGTTCTTAGCTCATTTCTCATACACATATCTCTGCTCTTTGATTATTTCTCATACACTAATGTCTGCTCTGAGCTAATATCCCATATAGTGAGCTCTACTATGAACCATATTTTACACTATTCACTGCTTTTAGTTTGCATCTCATACACTAATCGCTGCTCTGATCTTACCTCTCATACATTATACTGTGCAGTTTAAATAAAGTAGATTAAATCTGTGTAATTTTCTTTGTTAAAGGTGAATCTGACATTTCCAGTGAGAGAAGCCGCCCCCAAATCTTTGCTTAATTTACATATGGAAGCATCGGCTAACTCAGTATGTGGTCTACGAGTTGTGGACAAAAGTGCTCAAATTTCTTACACTGATCAGGAACTGACATTGGACAAGGTGAGAAAACTATAATATTTTATGTGCCTACAGGAAATACCTATCTATCATTATCCCCATCGGTTATTGATATAAATCAACTGGCACTTATTTCATTAACAGATATTGTTTTTCAGTATCCTTGCTATAATTTTTTATTGTTTTCCTAGCTGTCATTGTGTACTTAGATATTGTTATTAATATTAATTTTCCATATTTAATTTAGGTATTCGTTATTATATCTATATCTATTTATCTCATATTATTCTTAAAGATCACCTGTCATATTATTCCTAGGTATTTATTGTGTTGTTCCCAGTTCTTGTTCGATATGTCATCATGCAGTATTGTTTATCACCTCTTTTCCCAACTGTCATATATGTCAAATATATTAAAGGTCATTATAGCCCCAATATTCATTATATCATGTTTTAGTTTTCGTAAAAATTCCTTCTTTTAAATTGCTCCCAGTAATTTTAATATTATGCCCAAGAAAATTATACAATACTATATGAATTGCTAAATTCACAAGGAATACACAAATGTAACCTGCAATTGCAATATTTTTTTTAAACTGATACAGGTGCGCATACGAAAAAAAAAATGAGACAAAACTGTCTTTTGGAGATTCTTCGCACCACGTTTCCTAAGGGAGTGCAGACTTGCCATTTTGGCTGTCTGATTTTAAGGGTGTGTGGGTGACTGGCAGATGGCTATGTCCATTACACAACCATTGTAATGGACAAGATCCCCGTCCACAAAGAGTGGTACGTCATTCCGTCATGCATGTGCAACAGGATATAGTCTACCCAGATGGGCAGCCAATCAAGGCTACACTGAGTTCTGCATTTTTGCTTCATTATGGGTTAAAATGCCCTGAGTTTATGTAAGTGCACCACAAGCATGGTTCAAGAGGTGTTTGCTGTGTAGTTTTATTCAATTCTCTTGACACCAGGTGACACTGCTGGGCTGTTAGGTGATTAGGAGGACTGAGTGAAGATCAATTGACACACAGTATATGGGAATGTGTCCTTCTTTGTGGTACCCAGCACCCCATACTAATCGCCACCCAGATTTTCAATCAAGCCCGTAGTGATGGACTATGCCTCACCTTGATATGATATGTAGAGAGAGAATAATACATCCACTTGTATTTTAAGCTGTGATCTTGCAGATCTTCTGTGTCATGGAAGCACACTGGTCAAAGCATACTTGTGACTGGGCTTTTGGGATGAAAGGGTTACAATTTATTATTTATTTGCATTAGACCAGAAATAATGATAAGAAAATGCACTTAACACCAATACAATTTATAAATGGGGTACTTATGTCCCCCAGCAAATTAGATTAGGAAACCACAAAACACAATTTAGCACAATATCTATGCAATTGAAAATACTAATACATCAGTCTATTCAGGCAATGTGAATCCAGAGACCAAAGACAGTATGAGGTTATTAATATTTTAATAACAAAAAGACAAAAATAAAGATTACACAGCGCCACAAATTACATAAAACAAAAGGACATACAAAAACAAAAATAAACAGATGCAAAAAACTGTTCTGAAAAGAAAATGGGACTTAAACAAAACACAGAACAAACACACAGTCAAGCAAATATCATATATGGATTTAGTAGATATCTTCCAAAAGTAATATATTTAAATATGGCAATCCCATGTAAGCAAATAAGAAAGTTATCTACTAAACAAACAAAAGCTCAACATTTAAAAAAGGCTTTTCCTAATTTAGATTTTTCAACTGTTTAGTAATAATTTCCTCAATTGTTACCCGTATGTGGGATACCAAAGTAGGCCCTATATAGGTCCCTTATTTGATACCCCAAGAGGAAAAAACTCACAGGCACTCCAACTTCAAGCCGCAGGCAGATTTATTATGACAGAATGCAACGCAACGTTTCGACCGGAAAGGTCTTTTTATTTGATACCCCACATAAAGCTAACAAAGAGGGTCGTTAACTATTAAACAGTTGAAAGATCAAAATTAAAAGGAATAATTGGACAGTCCAGAACACAAATTCCAAGTGGTTAATATAAATTATGTGCAAATTCGGTGATCAACAGGAAGGGGTGCCTATTTTTATTCACCACTGATGTGTGAAACACAGTGGTCATGGTCATTATCCTGTGTATTATTTTTTGGAATAACTGCAGAGTCGTGTTATGTTTGTGTATTGTCACATTACCCTATATGATTCATTTCTGATAATATTTCTAGATGTACAGTCTGTTCCAGTTCTCAGACCGCTCTGGATACGATTATAGGGTGGATGAAATTAATGAATTACCCTGCAGGAAACGCTACCCAAAAGAATTTGACCGCCAGTCGAAGTGGAACACTCAATTTACAGACATTCTCAGCCTCTTCAAGGTTAGTTTGTCTGTCTTTCTGTCTTTTCCATGATACATTTCTATGATACATTTTCTCTGCTTTTCTATTTATTGGTCCATATTTTTCTTCAAGGACTCTCCTTCTACCATCCTAAACCTTTAATACATTATTTATCGTCTCTAGATTTTTCTTAGGCATATGTCTTCTTCTCAAACCTTTCCTAGGATGTAGGAGTGAAGATCCTGACAAATGCTCTAATCCAGAAGTCACCTGACACAACTGAGTGCCCCTATGAAGCTTATGCAGAAGCTGGTAACCATAAAACAAAATGCTTGACAATTCAAGTCTTTTAGTAATACCAGAAGTTCTGATTAAGTTTTTAATGTCAGTGCAGGACCTTCTTTTATATTTATTTGAAGTGTCAGGACTAAGAGTGATTTCAAACAAGACTGTAACAATATTTTCAGGTTTGATTCCTTGAAACGTCAGCTCAGGTAGTCTTGGACAAAGCTAACAAGGTAATTCACTATATGGTGAGATATAGAATAAACAAATAAATAGAAACAAGTAGGAAGCTATAGTATAGCACACAAGTATATATATAGCCCAAAAAAGTCCAATATATGAAAGTCCACAGTAATAGTATGGGAATACACTTGCAAATAGTGTTTGTCCAACAGAATGTCTGCGTGATTCCTCAATGGGAGTACCAGGGTAAGTTCAGCAGTGGGATCCGTATGTAACAACAGAGAGAGAGAAAAAAAAAAGAAGGAATAATAGGGTAGTATGTTCTATCTGAGTATAGCTAAAAGGAATAAGATATACTCCTACTCACGTTTTATGGAGCTGTAACTAGCTCCAATATGAATGGCCTAGAGTGGTACAATCCCTACTTGCAAGGATACGTGAGAGTAGGGTCTTTGTAGTATGAGGACCATAAAATATAAAAAGATAAAAAGGAAACACAATAGTGCTTTCTATATAAAATATTTTGAGGTAAAAATTAAATTAAGAACATACTCACATTTACCAGAGCAGGCGAACTGCTCGATGGATAGGGTGTGGGTGGTATAATCCCCACCAGGGACATCTTGAGAATAGTACTCACTGGAGCAAAAAATCAGGTGCCTGGCAGTTTGAAGTAAAAATAAAAAAATTAAAGTAGTAATAAAATGTAAAAAAAGAGTAAAATGGCACACTCTGTAAAGTGTAGTATAAGCCAAAATACCTTTATTTTAACAAGTATAAAATAGGATAAAACAGTATATAAAATAACCACAACGCGTTTCGCCTCAGGGGCTTTTTCAAGTGGAGATAGAAATAGATAGAAATAGTGACCTGGCATGCAAGGGTTTTTATAGGGAAATGAGGGTTAGTCAATTTTTAAATATGACGTCATTGTCATATTATTAATACATTTTATTTACTTTAAAAGCTAACTTTGTTTATTAGGTTGAAAATGGCAGGTATGAGGGCGAAGTAAATTTATAAAAAAAATATATAAAAACAAGGCTTATTTGATGTATAAAAACCGATACTAATGATAATGTGATCGGCCGCCATATTTAGTGGCGGTTGTGATGCATTATGAGGAATGTAGTTTACAGAATAGTGATCGGGTTGGTTGGGGAAGAGTGAGTAATATATAGTTAACTAATATACTGAGTAATATGAGGTAAGATTGGAGATTATTGTAATTGTAAAAAACGAGTAGATAAAATTTGGTCCGCCATTTTTATTTTCGGCCGCAGGGAGAGAGGCATCTTGGGATATGTAGTTGGCCGTGATAGCTGGGGGAAGTGGAGTGACATAGGTATATGTCAGAATATGATGGGCGTGAATGGATTAGTGCATTTACACGGCAGTATAGGTAGCTAGGGGAATGGCTACAAACGGATGTAGGAGGAGTTGTTGGGGAACGGACAGTGAAGGGGATATTGTCTAAAGTGCAAATATAAGGGGCTGGTGGGGTTGTATTTGAAGGGGAAAGGTGATGAAATTAGGATAACTTAGAGTATAGTATTTGTACTAAGATGTATATAATACTTATATGTTACATAAAGAAAATACAATATGCAAATTTCAAACATTCTATAAATATATATATATATATACATACATACATAATTGAACATATACATTAAAATTGGAGGAATATGTCCAGGGGATAAAAGGTGCTTTTTTGTAAAAAGTTAAAAAGGTGGAAAATTATAAGAAGTTAAAAAAGTTTAGATAATTTACCATCATGAAAGGGATGTAAACAAGTTTAGAAACTTGGGTGTCATCTTACCTTAAAAGGCAACTGACAGAGTTATCCAAACAGTCATCATCTAGGTCCCGCCGTATTCAGCTTCAACGAGCTAACCTCAGACTGGCCAGCGGTCATTGGCTAAGAGTGTCAGATGACACTAAAACTGGCTTCCCATTGAGAAAAATGCATGAGAACCATACATAACTTTATCATTTTTCTCAGTGGAAAGCCAGTGATAGTCTGAGAGCATCAGCCTATCAAAGATGCCCAATATATAATATAATATATAATTATAACCCAACAAAACCTACTTTAGCATAATGTCTGTGCAATCAAGAATACTATTAAACAGGTCTCTTATGTGAGCCGTAGATAAGACAGAGACAGAACTTTTTTTTATGAGTAAGAATAGTCACAATGCACACAAAAAAATATGATAAATTACTAAGAGTGAAGAACAGATTAAAATAAAAAGGAGACAAATTAACAGAAAATTTGAGTTACTCACTTTGCTTGTGCAATGATGGAAATGGCAACTTACTCATAATTAGTTTTTGACTCCCAGTAAAAGTGCAATGTTAATTAAAATTTGATAGATTTTGTACCCTTTGCCCCATTTTGAGTTTCCAAACTAGCCCCAAAGGAGGTACAGGGCATGAAGGTAGACGTGATTGTATAAATTTTAGTGACTTTTTAAATCCTAGGTTGATGACACCTCTCATATCACCTTTGGCCTCTTTAAACACAAACTTATATAAAATAATTTAAGAAAAAGGTCCCTATTTCTTCCTGTATGCCTGGTACAGAAATATTTTTTTAATCTGTAGAATTGTTACAATTTATCCATTCCAAAGACACCTTACAAGACCTGTCTGTGTCTTTTTCAGGGAATACCCTTAGCATTGTGAATAGATAGAAAGACAGACAGACATAAAAAATAAAAGGCATGATTATTCATATCTGGATTATTATTAATGTTTTTTGCATATGACTGGCTCCAGACTCCTAATTGTCAATTAGCATATCAAAGAGGCCCAAGGTCTGCAAAGCAAAAGCAGTCAAAAATTGGGCAACCAACAGGTATGGAAATGTATGAAACACTGCACATTTAAACCATGCAACCATATGATCTAACAGATGGCACATTCTTGTACCAGGCAAATTAGCCATTACAGTGCTGTAATTTCATACCACACATATTAGGTAAACATTCCATATATTCATTATACATCAGTGTTAATTTTGGCAGCAAATCTCAATTTAGTTTTAGTCATGCTCTTTTGATTAAAAAGCCATTTTAGTTTTAGTTGTATTTTAGCCATCTGAATTGTTTTAGTTTTTCGCCTAGTTTTAGTCGACTAAATCTAAAAAATGTTAGTCGACAAAATTAACAGTTATACATATTACATTTATTTACAATATTTCTACAATGCAACAATGAATCATGCTTGCTGGTCATGACACAATGCCCATGACCTCCAAGCACCATTACAACTTCTTTGAGATTAAGTTTCCTTGTTGGCCAGAGTGTTCCTTTAAGTTATCTATGGGCTGTTATTTTTAAGATATACCGTGGGTGCCCTATGTAGAGTCTCACAATGAGATTTTTTAGGTAATGCTAGGGCTGATAAATTTCAGTTGATCCTGAGGGAATTAATTGTATTTGTTTAATTTTCTCAACAGAATCCGAACACATGGACTCAGCAGAATTCTTCAATGCTGATAGGGCACCTGATGGTGCAATCAATGATCCTGTAAATGAAGTTTTTGAAATTAATGTTCCTGAAAATAATGTTCCTGAAAATAAAGTTCGGGAATTTTTCCCTGAAACCTGGTTATGGAAACTTGTGGTAATTAAGTAAGACAACTCAGCTACATTATTATAAACCTCCTAAATGAGACTGAGTGGGATGGGAGGACATTTTGGAGAGAGCAACCAGATATGAGCAAAAATGGGAACAAAGGTAGAGGATGAAGGAAAACTGAAGATATGTGGAAAATGATGGTAGATGAAGGAAATTAAGGAGGCCATAAACAGGCTGAAGAAGAGCTGAAGATAGCTCATGGGTAAAATAGAAGGCAGAAGGAAGAACAAGTAGTAAGAAACAGTTGTGATATATGATATAGTTGAAGATATCTAGGTAAGGACAGGGTAGGCTGGAATAAGGACGTTAAAAGAAGCTAGAAGAGGCAAAATGGGGGGAACTGAAGATGTGCTTCATTTACACTTCATTTTATGCCAATTTCATCTCCTATAATTTACATTGTATCCCTTTCCTCTGCACGCTGCCCAATGCACCACATACAAACTAATTTCGTACCTCTCTCTCCTTTGTCACTCAGTGAAATGGGAAAAGCAGACCTTAATGTTACAGTACCGGACACCATCACAGACTGGAGTGCAGGGATATTCTGTACAGGACCCTCTGGCTTTGGCCTTTCTGCACCTGCATACGTCCGTGCTTTTCAGCCATTCTTTGTGGAGATGAGTCTGCCATATTCTGTGGTCCTGGGAGAGTTATTCACTCTCAAAGCTTCAGTTTTTAACTATCTGGAAGACTGTATAAAGGTCATTTTCTCTCTCTCTCTCTCTCTCTCTCTTTCTCTCTCGCTATAGTAATTAACAAGAGAAGTACAAGAATGCAAAAATCTGCGCAAAATAGTTTGAAACAGGTATTCCATTTAAAGGTTTATTAAAGAAACCGATGTCTGAATAACCCAATACAGAACAGGGCAAACCATCTGACTATGTATGGGGCCATTTGGACTGCAACATACAGACATTGTTCAAACTATTTAAAATGTCAGATTTTTGCAACTCAGAATACAATTGACAGAAAACAAGCAAACGAACACCTTTATATAAGTGTTCTAATTAAATAAATTACTTAACTTCAATCAATATGCAGCCTCCCAGGATCGTTATCCACAACAAACGATCTTAACATATGCATAGAACCCCAGACAGAAATGGGATACGGCTGTACAATCTATAGAGGGAACATATAAAGGAAAAACCACAATAGTGTGATACAGTAAATACAGTGAATAGTGCGCTTAAATGGATGCACTCACAAGATGATGAAGATGAAAAAGCATTCATAGGGTGCCTCCCCAGATAGCATAGGGGGCTAGTGGTTTCCCCTATCCGATGTAAAGCGACCAATGGAACACGGGACTCCAGGTAAGTAATAGTAGAAAAGCAATACTTTTATTTTCTTAAAAGGTGAACAAGCACCATAAGAATAAAGGTTTAAAAGTGCAGCAATAGGTCCTGTTGCTGCACTTTTAAACCTTTATTCTTATGGTGCTTGTTCACCTTTTAAGAAAATAAAAGTATTGCTTTTCTACTATTACTTACCTGGAGTCCCGTGTCCCGTGTCCCGTGTTCCATTGGTCGCTTTACATCGGATAGGGGAAACCACTAGCCCCCTATGCTATCTGGGGAGGCACCCTATGAATGCTTTTTCATCTTCATCATCTTGTGAGTGCATCTATTTAAGCGCACTATTCACAGAATACAATTGAGCCTGACTTAGGACCGTATTTCAGCCAGACCCAACTCTGCCGCTTGGATACAATCTAGATCATAATGCCTCAAATCCAAACTATTTGCCTCCTGGCAGTTCTTGCAGTCAGCTGGCAAATAGTAATCAATTCTCTTCATTGCAAGGATTCTACATGTAGTAACTGGCCAGGGCTTGCAAGTCAGCTGGCACCTTAAAATATAAACAAATTTTATAAACAAATTTAGAAAAAATTAGGGTCAGGATCGGTGCAAGGATTTTCGGCTACAGAGGAAAAAATGCATTTTACCACCACCCCCCACTAAAATGCATCTTCACCTGTGTGTCTCATTACCCCTTTAGTGTTTCTCCCCTCTTGAATGTCTTACCCCCTTTGACCTTTTGTGTGTATTACACCCCATTTAGTGTATTATATCCCCCCTTTAGTGGGTCTTACACCGCCTTGTGTATCTCTTACGTCCCCACCAGCCCCTTTCTGTGTCATTGTGTTTTAGTGGGACATAAGGGCAAAATAGGGACTTTCATATTATTAATATTTATAAAGTGCCCAAATTCAATATTGCTGTACCATAGGACTTTAGGGGGAGTATAGGGGCAGTATTTTCTTGGATGGGACTTAAGTGGGAAGAGATAGGGGAAATATTGGTAAATACAGGCAGTATTATGGGAAGATAGGCACTTTAGAGTGGGGAAAAAATGGCAGTATTGAGGGGGATTGGGGCTTTATTGTGATGAGGACAGGGGCCGTATCGTGGAGAATTAATTCTTTAGTGTGGGGACAGGGGAAGATTGTGGGGTTCTGATTCTATAGTGTGGGGGGGAAGAGGGGCAGCATTGTAGGGTTTAGGGATGTTAGTGGGGGATGGATAGGAACAGCATTGTGAGGAATGGGGCTTTAGTGTGGTAGGATAGGAGCAGTATTGTGGGGTGGTAGAGGCAGTATTATAGGGGAGTGATTCTTCAGTGGGGGAGGGGCAGTATTGTGGGGGTATAGGGGTAACATTGTTTGCAGCAGGGGCAATATTGTTTGCAGTAGGGGCTGTATTGTGGGGGATTAAGGATTTAGTGGGCACCTTTGTGTTTCTCTTTCTCCCCCAACTCCTTTGTGTGTATTTTTCACCCTTCCTCAGCCCTTCTGTTTTTCTCTTGATCCTTCCCAGTCCCTCTGTGTTTCACGTTGTCCTCTTAGCACCTCTGTGTGTTACTTTGCTCCCCTCTGCCCCCATTTGTCTCTTTGCTCTCCTCATTCCCCCACTTGTGTGTCTCTTTGCCCCTCTTAGCCCCACTTGTATCTCTTTGCTCCTCTCTGCCCCTCGTATGTCTCTTTGCTCTCGTCATGACTTCCTGTGTGTCTCTTTGCCCCCTTATTACCCCAGTGTGTTTTATTACCTCTCTCAGCCCCACCTGTGTACCCCTTTGCTCCTCCAAACCCCTCTGTGTTTCTCTTTGCTCCCCTCATTCCCCCTGTGTGTCTTTTACCCCCATTTCCCCCTGTGTGTTTCTTTGCTCCTCTTAGCCACCCATGTGTCTCTTTGCTCCCCTCTGCTCCCCTCAGCTCCCTGTATGTCTCTTTGCTCTCCTCATTCCCCCCTGTGTGTCTGTTTGCTATCATCCACCCCCTGTGTATCTCTTTTCCCCCTCATTCCCCCCTGTGATTCTTTGCCCCCCCCCATTCCCTCCTGTGTGTCTCTTTGCTCCTCTCATCCCCCCATGTGTTTCTTGGTTTCATGAGCACCCTGTGTGTCTCTTTGTTCCCCTCACTCCCCCCTGTGTGTCTCTTTGCCTCTCTCAGGCCTCCTGTGTTTTTCTTTGCCTCTCTCAGGCCTCCCCATGTGTCTCTTTTCTCCCTTCAGCCCCACCCATCAGATCTCCTCCCTCTTGAGTGGCCAAGCTGTGGACGGAGGTAGAGGAGCTTGTTTACTCTACCTCTAACAGTAAGCAGTTCAGCGCTCTCAGTGTGCACTTCCTGTCAGACTGAGTAGAGGGAAAAAAGCTACTCTACCTCAGTCCACAGCTTGGCCACCCTATATGATGTGACTGGCATGAGGGGAGTGCTGTGCAGTGCACTCCCCTCATGCTGGTTAGCCAGAGACTGAGCCCCCTGGCCGGTGGGCCCTAGGCAGCCACCTAATCCATCTAGTGGCCACGCCAGCCCTGCTTACAAAACCAACTCTGCTATTGCCCTTAAGTGTGCAATTGGCCAGTCAACTTACATGCACTTACCAACTGCAGTTAAAAAAAATAATGGACTGTGTGTGAAGAAAGTAATGGTCATTCTTATTTACTCTTCCTGTCTATTATCAATTATCAATATACAGATTTATTTATTAAACACCAAACGGAACGCAAAGGAAATCTAATTACAAAATGAAGACACAAATAGCAGATTTTGAAAACTCTTACATCTTGACTATAGTCACGGCTTGATTATTTTAACATCAGCTGTATAGTTCAAATTCTACTCTACTACAATCTTGTGTTTAGATGATGAGATGAAGAGATGAAGGCATACTTAAGAAAGATCACACTAGTGCCATCAACACATATTAGACTTCAGTGCCAAATACTTAAAGAAAAAACTGGGCATATAGGAGAGGTCCAAGGCAGATTTATTGAATAAAGGTTTACAATGTTTTGACTTAGAAAATAGCCTTTCTCAAGTGAAGTTCTGTATCAGACCTTAGTTTAAGACTATGCATTTCCTTTTTTTGAGTGCAACCAAATGATAACCTAAAGGAAAACTCATAATTGTCTTCTGCTCTAAATCTGACAGAGTAGTTTACCAAGTTGGTTTATATTTCAGGTACAAGTCTCCATGCCTATCAGCCAGGATCTGCAGGTGGACACATGTCCTACCTGTCAGTATTCCAGATGTGTGTGTTCCAATCGTACTGTCTTCTTCAGTTGGAATGTTACAGTTAAAGCTGTTGGTAAATAAGAATATTGTTATCTTTTGTTTATTTTAACCAGTGCACCATGCTCAATACCATTACATCATGGGATATGTGCACTCTGCTTTTAACCACAGAGCAATATGACCTGTGTACTATGATTGTGATGTTGTCACTATATCATGTTCTCCCAGGTTTGGTGACACTCACCGTGAAAGTGGAGGCTGTGAGCAGCACAGAACTCTGTATGGGAAAGGAGATCATAAAACATGCTAATGGAAACATAGATATAGAGAAGAGACAACTTCTCGTGAAAGTGAGTGAACAATCGGCTTTCCCTTTTTTTGTTGTAGCATCTTACGCTAACAAGGTCATATTTAAAATTAAAACTCCATAATATGCTTTCTGACAAAAATGTCCATCTGCTTTACTTTTTATTTGATTTCTAATCCGAGCATCTCTACTATAGAGGGATAGGTGGGAGTTGCGTCAGATAGATTTCGATATCAGATTGGAGTTTTATCTGTTTTTTTTCAACACTTTTTCTCACCATCTATGCCACGGGTCAGGGTAGTTATAAATTGTAGTGGACCAGAACACTTTCATTTTAGGGGTGTGAGAGGTTTCGCCAGGGGAGGGGCTGTTTTGAAACATTTTATGTGACTTACTAATAAGAATTGAAACATCGAAATGTTATTTAGAACAAGCACATTGTACCTTATTTACACAGACTGATTTCTAAAAACATTTATTGTAGTTTACAGGTACATTACTGGGAATATTATTGCTGTGGAGCTGTTATACACAAACTATATGGAGCTCCTAGAAAAGAGGGACATTAGGAGAGAATGGATGGACAGAGGGAATTGTGTCCAAATAGAGACTGTCACTCGTAATTAGGGACACTTGGGAGGTACACTGTCTCCTCTCCTCTTATTTATGCTTTGTTTTTATTTATCCATTAGCCAGAAGGAATCAGGAAGGAACAGGCACAATCATTCTTTTACTGTTTGGAAGGTAAACTAAGTTCATCAAATAATGATCTGACTTCTATCTTGACAAAAAAATAAACTATTTTGTTACATTGTTGTTATTTAATCTAAGTCTGCCCTTTTCATCCTTTCCATTCCTTCATCTGCCTTTCACTTAACTCTCTTCCAAATCTTACCTACTTCCATTATCAGTCCTTTTTTTTTCTG